CCCCCAAAGATGGCGAGGCCAGCCACCAGAAGAGACATTAACGCCGCCATTGTATGTCCGGAATATACTCGAACTATTCAGTTGGCAACCGAATAGCCGAGGCGTGCAGGTGATGATGATCGAGACCGCCGGATGCAGTCTCGGGATACCTCTTGGTGGTTGGATGAAATCTTATGCCAGTATGAGAACCTGCAGACCACGGCAAGCTTTCGCAAAGGATCTGATTGAGACGCGGAACTACGAGATGATGATGGAAGATACCCTGATGAGGGGGAACTCCGCAAACGGGAAGTCTGAGCAGGTGTTTGGGACGTCCCCCTCATCTCCGCACGACGGCGTTCAGGGATCTACTTACTGTCTGTGCAGACATTAGCATACTACGTCATTTGCGGAGACGATACCGTGTGGTTAGCGCCAGTAAAGGAAAACAAAATACGGATAGACTTTGAGTAAATGCCAGACCGTTGGAGGCCAGCCAACTTTTGGAGTAGAGCCTTGATGTGAGACTTGCTGCTTGGAACAAAAGGGAAAAGAGGCAGCTACTATTTCGTTCATCCAATCTGAAACCTTTTTCTTTGGCATATGCCATCAGACTGTGCAGAAGACCTGACAGATTATGCATAAAAGGAGCCAGTTCGCACAGCAGGCCCTGCGTGACAAAAAGAGTAGACGAATGACACTGCCAAAATCGTGAGTTCCGAAACCGAGAATCGAACTCGGGGCTATGCCTAACCTCTCACGAGATGAGAGGGCATCATGTTGGCCACTACACCATATCGGATATGACTGGTAGCAAAATTCTCACCGAGAGTGGCATATATTGGTAGATGTTTGTGGAGTGGTGTTGTGGGCCAATTATTCTCAGAGTGGAGTGTGCCGTGACAAGAGATTTATTTGACTGCGATTATAGCGTCTATCATCTTTGTTTATAACCTATCCTACCTACTGTCAAGACCGGAAAGAATACCCAGCCACATCTTTACGCTCCTATTGGGACATTCAAGATTCAAGTATGCAAAAGTAGTATTTGTTAAAGTATGACGGTCCAATAATCCATGAGTCCGTCCGACCATTTACCATTTCTGTTTCACCGCTCCTCGGAGCACCCACTTTCCTTCTCGGTTGGTGTCAACCCCCATTTCTATATGCAGCAAAATGCAGCGTATGAGTTGCCTCATGGAACCATCAGCTTTGTCAATACGCTTAGGGTATCTCTATTTCCGTCGCATCTCTTTATACTATGGTGGGCGCAAAAAGGAAAAAAGAGAAGAAAAAAAAACCACTGGGTCTTTTCCATACTGTCGCAGTTACGATCACTGGCTACCGCCGCTGGAGTATCTGTTGTCGCCCTTCTCGCGCATCTCCTTTTCATTGGTGATGGTCCGGCTGCCGAGTGTAGGCGAGGACTCAAGCGCGACGCCACCGATAGCGTAGTAGTGGCCGAACACGCGGCTCTCGAGGTCCTTGACGCCGCCGTGCTGCTTGTGGGCGACGCGGCGGAAGTAGACGCGCTTCGCCCATTTCCAGGCCTCCACGCCCACGAAGAAGAGCACGGCGCAGACGAACACAATACCCCACTCCCAGGTGATGGGCGCGTGCTTGAACACCGACGTGTTGAGGACGGGGATGTAGACCAGGGGGAAGATGGTGACGAAGCCGACGAGGATGGAGAAGAAGAGGAGCTTGTTACGCCATGTGTCGATGAACCACTGGGTGAAGTATTTGGTGCTCTTGGGCTGCATGCGGAAGAAGGACCTGCGCATATTGACCATCTCCCAGGCGAGGAACAGGGCGAACCAGGTCAAGCTGGCGAAACAGGTGGCGCGGGCGCGGAAAACCGTGTCGCACTCCTCCGAGTACGTGTTGTTGCAGTTGTTCCCAAACCGGCCGTCGCCCCAGCCGAACATGACGAGAACGAAAGAAGCCAGGCAAAGAGCGGCAGTCCAGAGGCCGTAGAAAAGCATGTCGAGCATCAGCTCCCAGGTGAAAACACCAACCTTCATCTGTTAATTATAGGGTTAGTGTCATGCATTGGGTGAGTGGATGTTAGGCAAGGGGGAAAGCTTACGTCCTGGGGAGGTCTGTCCATGATATCGGGCGCAGCGACTTCGAATCCGAGGGCCATGTCGGGAAGACCAGAAGTGATCATAATGATCCACATGACTTCGACGGGGGCCAAGGGGAACACGGATAGGCCGCTGTCGTCCTTGAATATCAAACCAACGAGAAGCGTGCAGGCCTGGGCGACGTTACAGGCTAACACGTGGAGGACGAACTTCTGGATGTTATCAAACATGCGGCGGCCTTCTTCAACGGCGTTGAGAATTGAAGCAAAGTTGTCGTCAGTGAGGATAATATCAGAAGCCTCCTTGGCCACGTCAGAGCCGCCCTCGCCCATGGCAATACCGACATCAGCGCGTTTCAGACTGGGAGAATCGTTGACACCATCACCGGTCATGGCTACGAAGCGCTGGCGTCTGTGCAGAGCCTCAATCATGCGAACCTTTGTCTGGGGAGCACAGCGAGCGACGACCAGGGGTAGGTGGGGGAGCTTGTCAATGTCGTCGTCGGTGAGCTTGTCAAAGTCGTGGGCCGCCATGACCATAGTCTTTGCAACGTCTGCCGAGATCTCGTTCATGCGCGTAGGCAGAATGCCAACCTCGAGAGCGATGGCGCGAGCCGTCTCGGGGTGGTCGCCAGTGAGCATGTGGACGCTAACCCCGGCCTCGTGGAATTTCCTGACGGAGGGGGCGGACTCGGGGCGGGGAGGGTCGTAGAGGCCGATGAGTCCGCGGAAGGTCAAGTCCCTCTCGTAGTTCGCGCGGTCCAGGTTCTCGTGAGCGTCGACAACGCCAATATCGGGCTTGCTGGCGAAGGCCAGGACACGAAGTCCGAGGCGGGCGAGAGCCTCCATGTTGGACAGGATATCCTTCTGGATATCATCGTTAAGCTCGACGACCTCATCGCCCATATGGATGGTAGGGCAGGACGAAATGACGCGCTCAACGGCCCCTTTGGTGAAGAGCCAGGTTTTGTTTCCTCCCTCGACCTTGGTTTCCCTGTCCTCAAAGATGACGGACATCTTCTTCACGTCAGAGTCGAAAGGAAACTCGGCGATCTGCTTCCAGCGGTTGGCCTCGCCCGCCAGGCGGAGACGGTTCCAGTTGAATCGAGAAGCAAACACCTGGATGGCGATCTCAGTGGGGTCGCCACGGGCGTGCCACTCTCCCTCTGTGGTCTTGTGGACATTCGCCAGGTTGGCGAGGGACGCGACGTTGAAATAATCAGTAAGAACAGTGCACGACTTGACACGGTTCTCGGCGTCGGCGTTGGAGAAAGGCTCGCCATCGGCCCCCTTGGTGCGGAAGTCAATATCCTTGGGCTGATCAACACTGTGTCCGAGATCTCCGACGGTAGGGTTGAAGGGCTCGTTCGTGCTGCTGATAGAGAAGGTCCCCTGACCAGGAATCCAGGCCTTGCGGACAACCATCTTTCCTTGGGTGAGTGTTCCAGTCTTGTCGGAGCAAATGTCTGGACAAGGTTAGCGTGAACCGTTCATTATAGGAGTGATATGTCCTACTCGTGACGCCACCAAGAGCCTCCAAGCTCTTCAGCTGGCGAACAATAACGTGGCGTTGAACCATACGCTTGGTACCCGCAGCCATTGTTATGGTCAAGACGACAACCAAGGAGGCGGGAATCATGGATAGACCCGTGGCGACGGCGTAGATAATGACCTCCTGCGTGGTGTTGAACTCGTTGGCCCCTAAGACGATTATAGCGCACACAACGGCGATACCGAAGAGCAGGATTGCAAGCTTGGACAGCTTTCTTTGGAGAGGTGTTCCAACATTCACTCCAAGGAAGCGACCGACAGCGTCAGAAAGGGTCAAGGTCCATGCCTGGAGGTAACGACCAAAGCTGGCGGAGCCGTCCTCCTTACGCTTGACGTCACGGCGTCGAGAGTTCTTGCCTCTGAGGGCGGCGGCAATCTGTCCAATCTCGGTGTACATGCCGGTGGCAAAGACGATGCCACGAGCGCGGCCCTTGGTGACAGTCGAGGAGCTGTAGGCCACGTTCAGGCGGTCACCAGGACCAGTCTCGTCATCGAAGGTCTGGGCAGCTTCTTTGCGGACGGGAAGGGACTCCCCAGTCAACAAAGCCTCGTTCGTCTCAAAGTTGACGGCCTCAATGATGCGGGCGTCGGCGGGGATAGTATCACCGGTCTTGAGCTCAACCATATCACCAGGGACGATCTCGATGGTGGGTACGGTGATGTTTCGGCCCTCACGGACGGCCTGAGCGGTGGGGGAGCTGAGAGATCGAAGAGAGTCCATGGTCTTTGCCGCCTTGAACTCCTGATGAAAACCGACGGTGATATTGAGCAGAATGACGCCTGCCACAACACCTCCTTCGATCCAGGATCCAATGCCAAAGGAGGCGCCCATAGCCAGAATCAGAACCTAGGCAAGGCACATTAGACGGGGATCACGGTGGAAGCTCTTTGCAATAACGAGGAAGACATACCAGTGTCATAGCATTGGCGATCTGTCCGATGAAAATCTTCAGGGGCTGAACACCCGCTTCTTCGCCGAATTCGTTGCGGCCAAACTCGTCGAGGCGAGCCTTAGCGTCTTGAGGAGTCAAGCCATCGTCGGGGTTGGCTCTGAGCTCCTGGATGACTTGCTCGGCGGTCAAGGCATGAGCCGGACGGGAGATGGGCTTGTTGGACTGGCCCGAGACGTGGTTGGCCATCGCCTCGGCCTCAGGATCTTTCTTTCCCATGATGAAGAGGGTTACTTATCCGTTGTAGCGTAAGATGAACGCTCGTTTGGTGCAAGGAGGATATGGTGTTTGCGTTGCTATATGCGATGACCAGGTGTGATGTATCCGGGCGGTGCCAGGAGTGGTGGTCGTTCGACCCAGTCGGAAACGAGGGTGTTGTTAGTCTCGTCTGACTGGAATTGCTGTATAGAACGGGCACAAGTGTAAGTGCTCTGCTCTTATCCGGGTTCAAGCACTTCTACCCCCTCAAGATCGAGAGAAAAGGCAAGCATAGGAAGGAAGGATTGCAACAAAGAGCCCTTGGTAAGACGATCTCTGATGATATCGAGTAAGATGGGAAACGAAAAAGTCAAAATCCCGGGGGGGCTTGGGAGAAGATGTATGGCCTGGACTCCCGGAATATTGTCTTGTCACTCGGCTGTATGCTTTCATTATATGATAGGCAGGAAGTGTGGGCTGGTCGTAAGGCACCCACATATCTCTCTCTCCATGGCCCGCAACAAGTGCGCTCGTGGGCATGTTCCTCCAGCCTTGGCGGCTCTGCGCGGGTCACATCCGCGGGGACTCCAGGTCTTGCATGGAGTTGGAGTGTCTTGGTATTTGGGAGCCCGAAAGCCGGCCAGCGGGCACGCGGGTTGTTTGATAGCACGCAATCCGGATCTCTCGGCGGGAGCTCTACGCTCCCGCCTGCCATGTTGAGTCCGCCCAGACTCTCGGCAGCGGGCCTCATTCTGAACAACTTGCTGCGTCGAGAGGCGTATAGGGACTATGGGCGCCGTAATGGACAAGTCTGTTGGGCCCGCCCGAGACAAGGGAAAGGAGGGGGTCGGTGAGGCATCGATGCTTTCGGTGATGGATGGCTGCGCCCAGACAGATAGGAGACGAGAGTTTCGTGTATCTCCACTGCATCTCGGCCACTCAAAGACCATTCTTCCTTCCAAGAAGCAGCCAGTGTGGGGGGTTCCCATCCTTCTAGAAGACTGCTCTTCCCAGGGGTTCTGCCAAGTCTGCAGTAGCGTTCATTCTCGTGTTGTGTGGTTGGACATGTAGTCCGCAAATGGTAGCGCCTGGAGGCGACGGATTTGGAGTCGGCCTTGCGGATATCTGGTGTATCCCCCCCCGCCCCCTCCCCCCGCCTCACTCAAGGAATCTGACAGGCCTGGTTGTAACTGACCCGATTCCGGGGTGTGTCCCGGTAGCAGGGGACGACATTGTTGGAGAGGACATGGACCGACCGCCGGGGCAGTGACTGCGCCGGTTGCAGGGGCCTTTGACCGGCCAAGACAATGCCAAGGAGCCGATTCCTGGGCGGAGCAGTTCGAAGCCCGCGCAACTGAAGCTAGATAGAAGCACCGGGGTGGAGCAACCAAGGCGCCATTCGTGATTCCTCCCACTGCGATCTGCCCCCCTCTCCTCTGTGCCGGGCTCGACTTGTTCATCCTGCCGCTTCAGCTGGTCAGCTTACGCAGTAGGGCTGTGGCACGCGAAGTACCAGCCTCTGATTATCAGTGACGCTCATGAGTAAGGGACGTACGCACCACACGACGCGCGCGGGCGGCCTCTGGTAGCTCGACACAAGTATAAAGCGCCGTGTTTTGTCCCGGTCCTGGCGAGGAAATGGAGGCTCTGTGAGAGCCCTTCGGCGCTGTGAGCACGCCGGTGCCATGCAAAACAAATAAAAATCGACAAAGGGTACCCCGAGACCATCGGCCGCTTGTCCAACGTCTCACCCGTTGACACCCGTTGTCGAACCAGTTCGGTGGACTCCGGCTATCCCTCGACCCGAATCAACCCTCTCCGTTCACACCATTTCTGCGCCGCACAGCACGAGTCCTATCTTCGCTACCACCTCACATCCTCTGGCCGTCCTGACTTGCTTCTACAGGAACCGGGATCCTGTTCCGGCGTGGCCGACTCACGACGTCCCGGGCACGATACGGGCGGGAGGTGGGGAAACGGGTCTGCCGAGAAACACAGCCACCCCGAGTGAGGTGCCCAGACGCTGGGCGGGCGGGAGGAGAGGAAATGTTGATTTGGGGATTCCGAGTCTAGAGGACTCATTGAGTTGTGTCGAGAGATATCGCAAGCCACTCAGATAACAGGATGAGATTTCTCTGGGCAGCAGGGACAAGACCTTGCCCAACCCGACCCCAGGTATCCAGCTGCAGCGACGGTATCATGCCTGCGCATGTTTACGGGACACTCGGAATGGGGGCATGTTCTGCTAATTTTGTCGAGCATGCCGGCCCTTGATTCATTCTGTGGCGTGAGCAACAACGGTTCGTCGTATTGGACGGCGGACATCTTGGCCGCTCCGAGGTGGGCACGAGAAGTGGACTGCGGACGAATATGTTTGAGCCTCTGGTGGGCCAGTATGCCAGCCAAGGAATGACGGGCAACTTGGCATGTCTTGGCCATTGTGCTGGGCGCCGGCGCCGCTCCTCCAGAGTCCACTTTCCTCTCCTCCTCCAGCGTCGCCGTCGGCCCTTTTACACTGCCTGTGTAGCTGTGGTCGGTGGTTCTACCCATGTAGATTCCCCAAGGCCTCTGTGGGTTTCTCTACGGCGTTTGCTGGTCGTTTTCATCATGCTGATAGCCTAGCTAACGTACGGTTGCAAGGCGGCCTCTAAGGTTGCACAGCTACACAATGATAGTCTAACGTAGTCAGACAAACACAGCTATAAGTATGTATTAACTATGCCCAATACTTAACACAATATTAGCTGATACCGGTAGCCTAACTGAGGGGCAGAAGGAGATCGGCCACCTCCCCCCTGTCACCCCAGCATTCCCCCACCCAACCATCCACTGTTGAGTTTCCTTGACAATCGACCCCTCCATTGTTTCGTCTTGATTTCTTTCTTTCATGTTTCGTCTTCTCTGCACGTCTGTGTGTCTGTGCTATTACCCAGAAGACTAGACTCCTCTCATCTGTCTTCTCGAGGCAGGGCAGGAGACTCCTTTACCAAGGATACCAAGGCTGGTAACGCCTACAATGTTTACGTCACAGGAGAAGACTATCTAACTCTCCTACACTCAGCTAAGACTTGCATCACAACCAGCACTTGAGTTGCTGGAACCTACTGCCAAGCGTCTTGGAATACGACGGGCAACATCGCCGGCATTGTCGCTTTGGAAGGATCAGTGAGGCGCGGGGCTGGGAAGAAAGAAAGCGTTGGAACTGGCGGTACTGGATTCCGCCATTGAGCCGCCAGCGATGGGGACGGAACTCTGGGCGCCTAGCGGTGAAGAGCGCCATGTCTTGATAGGCCAGCTGCGAATGGATGGTCTCGATGCCGATGACCAGACTCTCCGCGCTTGGTACATCGTTATTGCAGTCACCCGTGCAACCGAGCCATATGGTACAAGCTTTGTATTTGTAGAACCGGACACTTCTGGAAAGTGTTGGCTGATGATGGCTCTACCTGTCACCTGATCAAGACTAGCTTTTAGGTTGACTTCCCCGGCGGCGCACCCGGATCCCATTTAGGTACGGTCACCAGCTAACAACAGCGCGCGGTCCGGTACAACCCTCACTGTTCTCACAGCGGTCTTTGCATTTACTCAGTGCTGCCACTTTTCTGACTTGAGCCGTTGAACGACCACAGGCGCCAGGACTTTCCTGCCAGCAACAACTTGGAAGATTTGCGAACGTGCCGGAACGCGTACGCTGCGACTCGAACTACAGAGATCGTGGTAAACAAATATCTGCTTGCCCCAGAGATTCGCATCGATTAACCGTCCTGCGGGGATACTGAAATGCACCCCGCTGTGCCAACGCCAGTCGGATGGAAGAATTCGGAATAATCCTGGTAGCCATCTTCATGGTCCTGCTCGCCTGTGGGCTGCTGCACAGATCGTGAGAAGCCCATTCCGCAATCGAATGAACCGTGGCAGCAGCTGACATGTGCACTCCTTGGCAGAGTTCGTCTCACGTACATACGCGTGCGAGATCATTCCAGATACCACCCCAGGGCATCGCAGTTTCTAGACGCTCGTCGCAACCTGAGCACAGTAACGGAGTGCACGAGCGCTTGCCCCGAAAAGCAGGACCTCGAGTCGGGCCTCAACCGACATGATGCGGAGCAGGAATGGTGAGTATGCCTCCCGTTTCCGCCGGCCGCTGCTTCGAAACGGCGACACCGCCAAATGCGATAGTTTGCTTGAGCATGTGCTCCGGAGCCGACAATAGCAGGCGAGGAAACGTAATATGCGAGAGGGAGCATTATCTGTCGCTGCCTGCTGACTTCCTCTCGCCGGTATCTGTAGTCCCATCTGCATCGAACCACTGTTCCTCCCAAATAACACGAATGTGACCGGAGCACAACCGATGCACGTTATGCCGTCGCAGATTCCCGGCGGGGCTGCCGGCGTTCCATCTGTAGAAGGTAGCGGAAGGCAAACCTGGCCGACTCAGCACATGACCGGAGACGCAAGCGAGGACCGGAACGCGAAGCCGGCTGCGTCCAAGTGGGAGATATTGGTAGGGCGACTGTGGGGAAAGTCGCCGGTCAAGACTTGTACGAAGCTGTCCGACGACGATATCTTGACGCTGAAGGGTTGCCAGCACGCTTTCCATGCCAAGTGTCTCTCGTCATGGTTTCTGATTCACCGTTACGACTGTCCCGTTTGCCGGAATCCTTATTGGCAGTCGCGGGAGGAGAAGGCCAGGGTAGCACATGCACCGCCGGGGTTGGGGCCGGGGCCGGGGCCGGGGCTCGGCGGGGGAGACGACGAGCCTGGGATTACTAGGCCGGCCCCGGCTAGATCTGCCATTGCACGGCTCGCGATGCCGGTTCTGTGAAACTACAGCAGTATGTCGCATTTCCCATTCTTTGATAGTTCGCCTCAAAGGCACCCAGTCGAATCGGGTGGAGGGCATGTGCGGATGCTATGCTGTGTGCGTTGCCAGCTGTGGTATTCGGCAGCGGTGCTCAGCTTAGCGATATCGTAATTCCATCAAAATTGAATGTCGAAGACAAGTCTACACGGATATAACGTTAATTATTCGTCAATTGATTGCTTGCTTTCCCGTGGCCTCTGTGAATTCTTTTACCCGACAATGAAAGAGAGAGGGAGGGAGAGAGAGAAATAATAACGCAGTCCCGGTAAGTAATTGCGATAGGAAGTAGTGAGTGTTGAGGCATTGCGTGATCCTGTTTTCACCTAGCTGATAGTTGGTATCTGACTGAAATGGTACCTACTGTCGGAAGCCGAAATCAACTAGAGACGAGTATTGCGGCCCCCCGAGATAGGTAATTGGTCAAACGGATAAGTAGCTCTCTCTGCAAGCGCAAAAAGACGAAAGGAAAGAGTGTGGGCGAAGACTTTAGTTTCGGCAAAACGCATCTCAGAATGAAGGCAGCGGCCGGTCCCGATAATATCCTGGCAAAGCTGGTTTGGTTAGACAAATGAATGATGGGAAGCGGGGATGAGTCTGATGATTAACAGCCGTCAGTCACATTGGCTCTGACGTGTCTTGCATCCAATACTTTGGCTTACTTTTTATGCCGTCTATAAGTTGTCTTGGTATCTTGATAACGAGTACTTGTTCAGGTTATCCAGGCGGCGTGTCTCAACTTTACCCCAGAACAGCGACAGCGACCTAGGTAGCGGGAATATGATGAGGCAGATGGGCCAGGGCGGAGCTTATGTTCCTGAGGCCGGTCAAGAGCCTGGAGACTGATTAGGCGTACTGCCTATCGGAGGTCACAATCAGACAACCTTGGGCGATAGAAAAGCACTGACTAGCGCGGGCGATCGCGGTGATTTGGCAAGCAGGCGCGATCCCTTCCATCACGATGGGAAGTTTGGTAGGATGAGGTCATGGGTAAGTATATGAGGCTGAAATGTATGTAGCACGGTACATAGTAGTGGGTGGGTACCTAGTTTGCACGAACTACTTACCTAACTTAGGTAAAGGTACGTACAGTACAGCACAATTGTGGCGTGAGTGGGCCCGATGAGGAAAGCACTCTTGGACTCACTCCGCTGTGGCGCGCCTGCATTTTCCCATCTGCTACGGATATTTGGACGTGAATCTGAGGATTGTTATGTACAGGCACCTATAGGTGGTTTGCAAATAGGTAGGTAGGGAGGAAAGAAGCAAGGGTGTGTGTGCATAGCATGTGCGGAACGGGCCACACGCTCCTTCCTTCGAATCGAGAACGTGTGGCGGCCGGTGGAGAGCGAGTGCAGTCAGAGTGACGTCGAGCCTTCCCGTTTGGCGATTGGTTTCCGGGGTGGGAGATGACGCAGTGCCGACTTGGCCCGTGCGTACTGTCTCGTTCGTCTGTTCGCATTCTGAAGGGGCAACGTCAATACCTATGCTGACTTGGCTATAGCGCTTTTGCTTTTCCCCGCCAGTATATACCTTCACAGCATGACCATTCGAGTGTACCAAATGAATCTCATGGCTACACTAGATGGATACCTAGGCAGGAACCCGGGTGTGTAGGTTTTTAGTGGAAGATCCTCTGCTCTCTGGACGTATTGTATGTACATCTCGCTACGATACGTGCAAAGGCCGTGGAAGTGCCCACATCGAAATTTGACCTTCTGTGTGTGATGATCACAAATGCTGCTTGCTTCCTTCTCCTCGTTCAAATTCCTTCTTCGCTTCTAGCTACTACCCAAGCCCCGGCCCTAGCCCCCTCCGTGTCAAAGTGCGGGATCCAAAGGTACCTCTCTCCCCTGATGTAGGTAGGTATTCCATCTCACTCCTTCGGGTCTAGGTCCTACTGGCTGACCTCATCGATCCTTTCTTCTCCTAGGTACGTACGTCAGGTAATACGTCGTTCGTCCCACGTACCTCCTACCCTCGAACACAAAGAGCTCATGTCCCCCTCGTCTTACCCAACCCCCTAGGTAAGGGGACTTTCTAACTAGCTTTGGTTCTGTCCTATCATTATACCTGTGTCTACCTACCTTCGGTAGATGGGTACTCTACCTAGGTCATCCACTCTTCTACTCCACGCTACGAAATCGCAACCAACCTTCTGTCCTCTGCCTCGCATCTCTCCGTCCAACTCACTTTTCTCCTATCATTGCCTCCCATCACAAACAACACCGGCTTCTCGCTGCCGGGTTCTTCGTCTGCAGAATACAAACCCATCGTCGACTTTCCCCTCTCCACACGCACGTCTACACCAAGAGGTACGGTACCTACCTTGCTTAGGTAGTCGCCTGATATGTTGGCGTACCCTTCAGTCTACCCATGGTCCATGTACGTAACTTGCATCCATCTGTCTCTGATACCCTCTTTCCTCGTCTGCTCTTGCCTCGCCGTTCCCACCTGACTAAATATCCACCCTCTGATTAGGTAGGTAGTCTCGCATACCTAATCAATCAATCAATCTCATCCTGGGAGCTGCTGCTGCTGCTGCCCGCCCTTATGTGCCTGCACCATTCCTCCCCTCACCTGATCCGCTGCCCACCGCCCTCGCACCCGGTTGGTTGTTGTCTGCATGAGGAGCTTTTCTTCCGCCGCAACCAAACTCCTCCATCCACCTCAGCAATTGCTCCGTGACGACAATCTTTTGCCAACACTCGTCCTGCCCCTGAGCTCATCTTTCGCCCGTCCGTACCACACCCGCCCATCCTTGCCCGCCCACCCGCTGTCGCCCCTACTTAAGTTCTACACCGCCATGGCTTCCTCCAAAACTAAGCCGTCTGCTGCCCCCAATGGACCATCCACCAACAAATCCGCCGCCAAACCCGTTTCCGATAAGCCTGCCCCACGCCGATCCGCTCGGAATCTGAGCGACGTCAAGCCTGTCACCGAACCCGGCGCCGGCATGCGCCCCACCCGTGCTGAGATAGCAAAGCAGCCACCCGCCAAGCGCCGTCAGCTCCGCCGCAACAAGATGTCGGTTTCCCACGATGGTGTGAAAGGCGCCGTGAGGGAACTCGGCGAGATGGAAACCCGCCTGCAGAACGCCACCAGAACCTCACGCCTCGCCATTGAAGCAAGTGTCTTTACTTCTTCTCACAACGACCTCACCCCGTCAGAGAACGGTGCCTGTATATCTCATTTGGATGCCATGGCAACTGACCCCGAGGAGTGCGCTCGGAAAGCTGAAGAAGAGCGTTCCGGTACCCCTGACGTGGACGCCGCACCAATCATTGGCCCAGAAGGCGAGGCCGCCGTCGGTGATGTCGAGGATGACAAGATCCGCGCTGAAGACGCCCCCGAAAGAGGCGCTGCGAGAGAACCGCCAGTCAACAGTGATTACTTGCCTTTGCCGTGGAAGGGAAGACTGGGTTATGTGAGTTCTGCTTCAGATATGCCACACCTATGCTCGGTTGCGTGCTCCGGCTAACCCCCTTTCCCAGGCCTGCCTCAACACATACCTGCGCGCTGCCAACCCCCCCGTATTCTGCTCGAGGACTTGCCGCATTGCATCCATTTTGCAACACCGCCATCCATTAGCAGACCCAAGCCAGCCAGAACACTCAACCAAGAACCGCCCCGATGAGACAAAGCCTGCCGACATCCAGCGTGGTCAAAAATACGTACAAGAGCTCGGGTTGGCCAATGCGAGGGATATCCCCAAGATGCTTCGCTGGAACGAAAAGTACGGCATCAGATTCATGCGCCTCAGCTCCGAAATGTTTCCTTTCGCCAGTCATGAGGAGTACGGTTACCGTCTTGCCCCTTTCGCTGCCGACACCCTTGCCGAAGCGGGCAAAGTGGCTGCTGAGCTGGGGCATCGACTGACTACACATCCGGGCCAGTTCACACAGCTGGGTTCGCCTCGCAAAGAGGTCATTAACGCTGCAGTCCGTGATCTCGAATATCACGACGAGCTGCTTTCGCTGCTCCGCCTTCCCGAACAGCAGAACCTGGATGCAGTCATGATCTTGCACATGGGTGGCACTTACGGTGACAAGCGGTCCACCCTGGACAGGTTTCGCAGCAACTATGCCGGCCTGTCGCCATCTATCAAGCAGCGCCTTGTACTGGAGAATGATGACGTTTCCTGGTCCGTCCATGACCTTCTGCCGATATGCGAGGAACTGAACATTCCTATGGTCCTCGACTTTCACCACCACAACATTATATTCGATTCGAGCCAACTACGAGAAGGCACTCAAGACATTGAGCAACTTTTCGAGCGCATTCACGCGACCTGGACACGCAAGGGCATCACGCAAAAGATGCACTACAGCGAGTCTTGCCCTGGTGCCATCACGCCCCGTGATCGACGAAAGCACTCGCCGCGTGTACGGACGTTACCCCCTTGCCCTCCTGATATGGATCTCATGATTGAGGCCAAGGACAAGGAGCAGGCTGTTTTCGAGCTCATGCGCACATTCAAGCTTCCAGGATACAATGCAATCAATGACATTATCCCATACGAGCGATTAGATGAGCTTCGCGTCAGCAAGACCGGCAAAGCCAGGAAGGAAAGCAAGAAACAGCCCAAGAAGACGAAGAGGAAGGCTAAGGATGCTGAAGACGATGAAGACTCTGACGAGGTACCAGAGCCCGGGCCCACAGCTGTCGAAGATAACATCGTATCTCCTGATGATTTTGGGATGGGAGGGCCTCAAAACAGGGTTTACTGGCCCGAAGGTATGGAGGAATGGCTCAAGCCTAAGAAGCGAGAGGTGAAGAGGAGTAAGTCGACAAAGTTGGTAGACGCCATAAAGCCCGAGGTCAAGGAGGAGGAGGAATGATTCTTGACTCTGCGCAGTTGTCCCGCATAGGATTATGCTTGCTTGTACGATAAAAGTATGTACGCTACTGGCATAGCATGTCGCGATATTGGGCATGCTTCACCTGTGATTACTAAACATATCAAAATGCATGTCAAAGAAAGCCCTTGTGACTGATGTCTATTCGTGGGCTTGAAGCTCTGAAACATTTGTGATCGGAGGGATCGCCTCCACTTACTTACTCACACAGACAGCTAAATGAGGGGAACTCGTCGCCTGTATGGCGTGGGAGAGTAAGGGCAGTCGTGCCGACGGAAGGAATTTCGACAGCACGGAGTGGATCAATTGCCCCTCAATCCTGACAGAACACCGCAACCGACTCCGGGCCGACCCCGAAGCCAACATGGGTTGGGCCCGGCGAACCGCATCCACCTCGCCCCTACACCATCCAACGAAGTATTGGTTTTCGAGATTTCAAATCGCGCGAATCAATTTAGCCGGACAAGGGATAAGTTTCGGCTGGGAAGCATATGGCTACACGGAGAGTGTGTATCATTCGCCAACGGGCATTGAGCTGAGGGGGGGGATTGGGTTTGATTGAGAATCCGATAGCACAATCAATGTGGTGACGCCAAGATTTAAAACCTGTTTCCAACTGCCGACCTCAGATGCGTAGTGTGGTTTAGGCGACTTGAATTGCTTCTCGCAGCCGACTTTTACCCACCTGGCCCAAGAAAATTGAGAGAGAGGGTTATCCAGGCGATCAAAACGAATGGTGACAGGGACGAAGTTTTCCCCGTCCGGAGCGAAATGGATTCAGTTGCCAAATCAGATTTAGGTTATGGTCGGTAAGCGCTCGGGTTAGAGCAAGCTCTCTTATATACGTCGAAGCGGGCGCGGCACCTGGAAAGCTTGGTCCGCTGCGGGGCGGGAACGATGGAGGGAAGAGGGAGGCGGGAGTGTCACCATGCCATTTTATACAGACATCGAATGGGAGAGAGAAAGCATATCGCGGGGTCGAAACGTGCATCTCGAAGGGCTGGTTGGTGCAACCGTAACCCTAGGCAGTATCACGACTAGACGGGCTGTTATCAGCCAATTCACTATCAACTCACAAGAGTTCCGATTAGCAGAAACTCGCCATGTTACTCTGGCCTCCCCCCTCCCTCCCTCGAACGAGATTAATGCTTTCTAGGTCTGTTGTCTGAATGACACGCTGTGCCTGAAATCGTCCCGAATCTGAGACACACTCGCAAACACGCACTCGCACTGACTCTGCCGCGCCGGCATCCACGGGAGCCAAGGACAGACGCAATAAACAGGAAAAAAACAGGAGCAGTGGCTTTAGAATCCCGGCCGGATATCCCATCTTCATACGAAAACGGACAGCGCATCGACATGAAAGAGGCGGCAGTGAACCTCCACGACCCGAACGTCACGTTCGAGGAGTATCTCTACTGGGCCAGTGTCACACGCGCCGAGGAGAGCCTGGAAAACGAGCGGTTCTTGCAGGCCCAGGGCCCTTTGACGTTGAAGAGGGTGATCAAGGACCGGTTCAGGAAGGGCGATGAGCACGAGGTGTTCCAGAGCGGGGGCGGGGACGCGGGCGCGGGCGCGGGCGATGGTGAGAAGACCGACCGTGATAGCGACAAGGCTATGCAACCCGCGGCGGAGGGCGACGGCGGCGCAGTCACGCCCGAGGAGTGGAAGAGGGCCAGCCGGGCGATGAGGACTGCGGGGTGGGGGGCGATATTCTACCTCATTACGACGGATATCCTGGGTCCGTTTTCGACACCGTGAGTCCAGCATCTCTTCCCGGGTTTGTCATGGAGCTAACGGGCTGTCAGATGGGCCTTTGCGCAGATGGGCTACGGGCCCGGCATCGCGCTGTTCACCGTCTTCGGCGTCATGTCATACTAGTACGTTGGCCACCCCAGCCTCTCAAGCGCGATCGCTTTACGGCTCTCTGACTTGCAACCAGCTCCGGCTGGCTCCTCTACAGGTCCTTCCTAGGGCTCGATTCGGACCGATACCCGCTGAAGGGCTACGGCGACTTGTACTTCCGCGTCTTCGGGGCCGGCGCGCGGCACGCCGTCAACTTCGCCCAGGCCCTGCAGCTCCTGCTGTTCGTCGGCGTGCTGATCCTCGCCAACGGGCAATCCATCTCGCAGATCTCCAAGGGCCCCGACGGCGGCGCGGGCATCTGCTTCGTCGCGTGTCTGGTCATCTTTGTGGCGGCGGGGTTCGTGCTGGGGCAGGTGAGGACGTTGCAGCGGTTCTCGTGGGCTGCCAACGTGGCCGTCTGGTTCAATTTGTTGGTCATCTTCATTTGGTGAGTCGTCCCACCCCAGAGCCCAGGAGGATGCGGGCTTGGGGGGGGCTACTGTGCTAATTGGACGGGGAAACAGCATGGGCGTCGTGGCGCACTCCCCGCCAAACTTCGCCGCGACACAGGCCTCCTTCGGAGACGCCTTCGGCCCCGGGCCCGTGGTGACCTACGCCGGCACTCCACCTCCCGGCAGAGCCTCGGGCGGCTCCGGGTTCCTGGGGTCGATGAACGGGCTCAACCAGGCCGTGTACTCGTACGGCGGGTGTCTCATCTTCGCGGCCTTCATGGCGGAGATGCGGCACCCGATGGACTTCTGGAAGGCTCTGCTGTGCGGCGAGGTCTTCATCTACCTGTGTTACCTCATCTTCGGCCTGTACGTTTACTCGTACCAGGGCCAGTACGCCTTCAACCCCGTCACGCAGGGCCTGTCGCCGTACTGGTGGCAGACAGCGACCAACATCCTGGGGCTGGTGACAGGGTTGATCGCGGCCGGGCTGTACGGCAACATCGGGATGAAGGTGCTCTACGTCGAGCTGCTGCAGGAAGTCTTCGGGGCCCCGCCGCTGACGGAGACAGCGGGCAAGGTGCTGTGGGCGGTCGTGATCCCGGTCTACTGGGCGCTCGCCTTCGTCGTGGGCGCCGCCGTGCCGCAGTTCTCGCTCATATCGGGCTTTATCGGCGCGCTGTTCATCCTGAGCTTTACCTATACGCTGCCGGCGCTCCTGGGGCTCGGGTTTTGGATCAGGAGGGACGCGATGGTGCCCGAGGAGGAGACGTTCGACCCCGCGACGGGGCGGTACGTGTACGTCGACGGCGGGTTCCGGCGGTACTGGAGGGGGTTCATGAAGAGGCCCGTGTTCAACACGTGGAACGCGGTCTACATGCTAGGCGGTCTGGTGACGACGGGGCTGGGCATGTATTCGTCCATCGAGGGGCTGATTGAGGCGTTCAACGGCAAGTCTCAGGCTACGAGCTTCGGGTGTAGTAGTCCGGTCTAAGTTATTTCGCATGAGACATGCAAGCAAGTATGGTCGACTTGGTGGCAATTTTTCATTATCTTATCTCTTACTGTGGTCTTGCTCATTCGTCTTAATTTAGTATCATCAGTTGCGAGCCTGTTGTACTTTTCGGTCCCTCTTCTTAATGTGATAGCGATGCCCGAATGTCCCTTAAGCTCGGGCAAATCTTCTGCATGTTGCGCAGAATATTACGCCCGGCTTTCTATCGTCATTCTCATCTGAGCTTCCACGGGTTGGCAAGTAGAGCCTCCCTTGGTACAACTGTCGGGATGTCGGGCGCAACGCCGTGGCTTACAGCTTACAGCAAAAAGAGTGTAGCGTATCTGAAAACGCTCGGCTGGCAACGGTTTCCGACTTGAACTGGGATCCGACCCCACCGATCATCGCATCAAGCGGAGCTTAGCTCCGATATCTCCCCTTGGTGTAGTTGGTTCATCACGTTCGACTGTAATGGTTTATCCCTTGTCATCGAAAGGTCTCTAGTTCGATTCTGGAAGGGGAGAGTTTCTTTTTTTTTCTCCCCGTCTTGTTGAACGAGTGATGAGTGTCTGCCGATTCAGTCGATTACCGGTATCCCTTTGTGAGTCCGAGTACCTTATGCAAGCTAAGGTTGTGCGGCTCCTGCTTGAGTTTTCCATCATCCCGCATAAGCTTCCAACATGGCTTGATCGTGAGTCAAGTGTCAGTGGCTTTGTCTCACTGCTCCTCCTCCCCCTCGTCCTCGTCCGCAGCAGCCACGACGCAGGGAGAAGGCCTCACCGCTAGCAGGAGCCAGAACACAATGAGACGGCGATATGCCGCTAAGTCCAAGCTCGACGGTGGCGGCTGGCGACGAACCCAGCCTGCAACAAATAGTCGGTGTATGTATTTCTGCGCTGTGATGATGCATCCTCCCGACCCTTAACGAGCGTTGAGCTCCCTTTTCGTGAAATCTACCCTCCCAAAATCGCCAAATACTTGTTGACCCAGTGTTGAAAACATGGTCTTTCCAGTGTGTGCCCGTGCAAACCAAACGCCGTGTATAGAAGATTAAATGGAACATAATACCGCCACAGCCACGCCTCGCCTACTTCTTCAATCCCACCAAGCTGAGGAATTCGTTGCGAGTCTTCTCCTTCTTTTCGAAAGCACCCAGCACGCAGCTGGTGATTGTGCTCGCCGTCGTCTTTTGCACACCGCGCATGACCATGCATAGATGGCTGGACTCCATGACGACAGCCACACCCTGCGGCTTGAGGATCTCCATGATGGCGTAGGCCACCTCCTTGGTCAGCCGCTCCTGGATCTGGAATCGTCTGCTAAACATCTCAGCGATACGCGGCAGCTTGGAGAGGCCAATGACCTGATTCTTCGGGATATAGGCAATGTGCATCTGTACATATCTGTTAGTCGTCGCTTGGGCACAGTGATAACGGTGCAATCAACGCACCTTGCCGGTGAAGGGCACGAGGTGGTGCTCGCACATGCTGTAAATCTCAATGTCCTTGACAACAACCATCTCGTTGTGGCCCTCCTGGAAGATGGCGTTGTTGACAATGTCCTTCACATTCTGCTGGTAGCCGCGGGTCAGGAAGAGCATGGCCTTGGCATAGCGTCTCGGGGTGTCAAGAACGCCCGGGCGGTCGGGGTCTTCGCCGACGCATTCAAGAATCGTGCGGACAGCGCCTTGGAGTTTTTCGAGACGAATGGCGGCTTGCTCGGGGGATTCTTCGAGTCGCTCGCGGGTTCCGAGACCTTTAAGAAGGTGCGCAAGTTAGTCAATTGGCTGCGCGAGGTTGGGAATGGCGTCGAGTCCAACTAACTTGGGCGGCTCAGGCCATCAAAGTCAATCACAGGGCTCGGCGATCTGGTCACTGTCCCTTCATTCTTGGTCTTGGACTTCTTCTTAGACGGTTTGGCGGTGGTTGTGTCGCGAGGGTCGCGCGCCGGCTGGCTCAGACTCGCACGGCGCATCTTCTTGGAGACATGGCCGTTGACTTTGGCATCATCGTCGCCGCCTCTGCGCTTCTTGGAATCCCGCTTACTGGACTGGCTTCCAGTGTCGGCATCGCTTAGGTCACTTGAATTGCTGTAACCATTGTGATGGTGTCTGCGGTGTTTGTGGCCCTTTCGTTCTGCAACCTCGGATCGAGTCATTTTGTCGTCGTCGTCGGTTTCTGTGATGCCGGTGACCAAGATCGGTTGTGTATGAGGGAGGAAGGGAGGGAGGGGGATCACTCCGCGAGAACGAGCCCGAGTCCCAAATTCCCCCAAAGATGACCCGCCGAACTCAATATTTCGGGAGGGACATCGGAGCAAAAAATTCGGTTACGGCCGGCCTTATCTTATCGCACTGTCTCCCCAGTACTCCGTACCGTACCTAGGTAGGTAGGTACCTCCCTAGGTGTGTAGGTGCGTAGGACAGCTAAGGTACCCACTTTCCTGGGGTGTTTCGACTCAAGGGTCCAAGGCTTACGGCGCCCTCTCAAACGCTCTCTCATTGTGTACCTGTGCTTAGATACGTACCTCAGTACTCCGTATCCGTTCTTGCCTCCATTTGAGAAGCATTGGTCAGGTGATCCTGTCAGTGGTACTCCGTACTCAAGGCAGCTTAGTCATTCACACTTTCTCCGGCAGCCCGTCGATCGCGGCGCGACTTCACCACTTTCCCCGTTGCTTCTTGCGCTACTGGCCAACGTGAATATCCATTTCCATTGACCACCTCCACGTCCACCGCTGGACTAGCGCCTGCTTCGACGAGCTCCCCTTTTCGAATTCCGAAACAAACTCCCGATCGTCTTTCTCATTCACCCGACGAATCCGACGAACTCGGTCGCCCGCTCAGCGACTTTTGTTGCTCTGCGACCTGGTTGGCTGCCAGCTATTACCATTGCCAGTCCACCACCATGGCTTCTCCTCCGTACTCGTACTCTCCGACGGCGCTCTCACCGCCATATCCTTCATCCGCGCAGCTTCCCTTGTCGAACAAGAAACGCGCTTCAGATGGCGCCCCCCCGGGATCTGCTAAGCGTCGGAAAGCCTCGACGCTTTCCGTCACATCAGCCTCCGCGCACCCACTTCGCCAGACCTCCTTCCCTCCGGAAGCCGGTTCGCCTTTTCCACGTTCACCCTCGGCAGATAATGCGAGCGTCGTCAGTGGCAGCCAAGCCAGTGCACCTCCTAAGAAGAAGCGCGGAAGGAAGCCCAAGAACCAGACAAATGTGGAGACGAGAGAGCAGACGCCCTCGCTTGTCGGCGGGCGGGCGCCTACAACGGTCAGCGGCACGGGCGCCGGAGCTGAGGGTCAGGAGGACGGTGCCAACGACGATGATGACGACAACGACATGCGCATGGCGCTGGTGGATTCTACGGTCCGGACGCAGGAGCAGAAGCAAGAGGAGATAAGACTCCGTGCTATGCTCGTTGAGTCCTTCGACCCCGAACAATACGATCGCTATGAACTCTGGCGTGCAGCCAAATTGACAGAGTCCGTTGTCAAGAGGGTAAGTCCCGTCCCGCAGGCCGATGTCCCGCAGTCGCATCGCGCATTATGCTGACGAGCCCACAGGTTGTCAATGCGACCGTCTCGCAGTCAGTGCCTCCAAACGTTGCTCTCGCCGTCAAGTCGGTATCCAAGCTCTTCATTGGAGAGCTTATCGAAAGAGCTCGAGACGTGCAGGGCGAGTGGATCAAGGCTACAGGCGAAAAGCAGTCCGAGGCACCCACGCCTCCGCCGAAGGACGAGGCCAGCCAGACCCAAGCTGCCAAGGAGGACAGGAGAGGCCCTTTGCGGCCGGACCATCTACGTGAGGCGTGGCGACGGTACAAGATGTCGGGAGACGGAGGCTGGGTGGGCATTCAGGGCCTGTGGCACGAACAGCAGCAGAGCGGAGTGGAGAGATTTCCCGTCCGGACCGGTGGGCGGCGGGTTTTTCGGTGATACCAGTGTGGCATGAATCATTGGCTTATTACCAGATGGAGGCCAGCGGAAATTGCGAGGTGGCTTGGAGGCATTTATGATACCCATCCTAACCTAGGAGTTAGGTTTACAGCGGACTGCGTTGGCCGTCAAATCGAACTGTCCGTCTACAAGCTCCCGACATAGGCTCGGAAGCCTAATTGATTTTAACATGATGCAGGTGACAAACCTAGCCCGAGGCTATGAGAATTGCAAAGCAATGCTTCAAAGGGGTCTGCGTATCGAAACCCTTGAACCCTTTAGGGCACTTGTCCACTCCAATGCCGGGCTTCATCGATATTCTCCTCCACAATCGCCCATCGCTTCAAACATGTCCAGTCTCCTGCTCTTTTTCAACACCTCCTCAATCGCCTGTCGGTCTTCTTCTTGCAGCGTCCATCCTAGACTAGCCAAGTTCTCGTCTGTATGCTCGCTGATGCCCATGCGAGCCCCGACGATGACCGCTCCGACGTACGGGAAGTCCAAGACCCAACGCGTCGCCACATTGGAGACGCTGACGCCGTGTTTTGCCGCCACATCCTTCAGCACCCGCAACAGATCCTGGAACAGTTCCCAGCCTCCCCAGCTCCGTATCATGGCATAGTATTTACGCTGACTTGGCGTGATTGCTGCGTCGTAAAGATCAGGTTGCCCCTTTCCGAGCCACTTTTCGGCAAGAAATCCACCGCACTGTAAAAATTCCGATCAGCAGGCCAACATCAACCAGGGGGGGGTCTCGCTTCGGCGTACCAGTGTTCCATAGGTCAGGAGTTTGATATCATGCTTCTCGCATGTCTTGCCCATCTTTACCATTGGCCGAGAATCGATCAGGGAAAACTAGAACGTGGTTAATGAGCAACCCGGTCACCGTTCATGTCTAAGACGCTCTGTCATACCTGCACCTGGTTTGTGCGAACTTTGATACCATGAGCAATAGCCGCTTCAAGGTGCTCGGTATCAAAGTTGCAGAGCCCCAGGTTGGTGACCCTTGGGTCTTCTTCCAAGAAGCGCAACGCTTCGAGATACTGAGGATCATTATACTTTGCAATGTGAGCTTCTGAACTATTTACTGACAAGAAGCTCTTGGCGGGGGCTACTCACGAACTGCCAGTGAAACTGCAGCAAATCAATCTTGTCACTTTGCAGCCTCCGGCATCGTTCTGTGATATTAGCTTCCACAGCGGCTCGTGTCACTTTCATCGGATTGAAGACACAATATTTGGTCGCCGCAAATGTCGCATTCTTGAAAGGGTATGACGATCGAAATCGGCCCTATGTAGTCTAGTCAGCGGAGGTGAGTATTTAGCAGGCGACAAGACGTACAAAAATGACTTCTGCGTCTCCGTAATGATCTGCCATGTCGAATGCCGACATGCCTACTTCAAGATATTTGGAAAACTGAGCGATGATCTTGGATGACGGCGCGGAGCCCCAAGAAGGACTGGACATTTGCCAAAGCCCTGTGAATACTCTTGGAAGCCTACGTCCATTCATCTCGAAAGTCTCCCTGGCTTCAACAGGACCTGCTCCAGGACCATCGGGACACAGAGGTCCGAGACCTGCTGTAACATCGAACGTTGGGAGAGGAAGTCCCAGTAGCATCGACGTTGAGAAGAGCGCTCGTCCATACGGGTATTCCAGAGATTTCTCATCGGTGATGGTCCTGCAGTCCACAAGGTTTTCGTGTAGACTAGTAACAAGAGTGCGCTCATCATCCAAGAGATACGTCCTCGAAGACGCCAGTAACGTCTTCTCGAACGCCGTCATGATTTGCACAATGTCACCATCGATTGCAGCCAATGCGTTGAGCATATCCTCTTTAGTTATTTCCGGATCAAGCAAAAGTTTGACTCCTTGAGTGACCACTTCATTCATCAACTGAATGCTCTGAGAACACAGCCCACAGCCCAGCATGCATCGGATCGTCGCTTGCGTCTTTTGCAGCCATGTAATGTCGGTGTTCGCAGGCCGCTGCGCGTTGGCCGCTGGAACGGCCACATCTTGAATGTAATTTCTCGTCTCTGCCTCGAAGGTGGAGGTGATATCCGGGTGAGCGGCTAAGAGCGATCGCATTATCACCCGCAAGTTTTCGGCGGGGAGATTCGTGATGATGGTGTCCGTCATCATGTTGACGTGTGCCGTCTTGGCGCTCTGAGCTTCTGAGCGTGCTGACATTTTGGCGAAAATGATATGCGATCTGAAACCAGGCCGAATAGCCAGCGGAAATATCGTGAAATACAATAACTGAGTTAACGACTTGCTGTACTGCATGTTTCGTTGGCCTATTAATCATCTACTGCTAGAATGCAAGATCAGTTCATGAGTGATGACACCCTGTCGCTGACCCTTGGCGGGCATCGGCATTCATCGGTTGAACCGGCGTTCAAAGCTTTGATTTACCAAGTCTACCCCAGTTGTCTTTGACCCTGTTCCCCCACCAATAATGATAACAGATGAAAAACGAAAAGGTGGAACGAGATAGGCAATTCCGCAAAGGATACGACCCCTGAAGCCCTGTCGTTTTTCTGGACATGTCACTTTGAAGGCCGGGCTTCTCACTAGCTATCCGATTTCCCGACAGCACTATGGAGCGACACAGTAGTAAACCATCTCCGAATCGTAAACCTGCGTAAGTTCTTGTAGGCTTTAACACAAGAGATATGGCGCAAGCTAATAGATTGACTATGGCGTCCCAGTGCCAAGGCTTGCCTTCAGTGTAGGAGTGTCAAGCTGAAGTGTGTTACTTCTGGAAGTGAAACGGTCTGTGAGCGCTGCGCTCGCAAATCGCTGAATTGCATATTTCAAGATCATCGCAGAGGGAGAAGACCTGGAACGCAGTGCGTGGGAGATCGAAAGAATTCCCTTGCGACCCGAAGAACGTGGAGACTGACAAGCATTAAAGTTTCCCACGGCGCAGCAAAGCATCTTCATCAACCCCGATTAGTTTGCCTCCGGTGGTCCAGCCAAGGCAAAATGAAGAAAGACAAAGCAGAGAGACTCAAGCACCAGCAATACAACGTAGTCCTGACTGGAGTAGCGGAAGCCTACAGCCGGCCGGGTTGTTCAATCGTGAAGCAACTCTTGGAAGCTTTTCTCTCGGAAGGATATTGAATGCGTCAGACTCGAGTCGTCCAGAGGTTCCATCCAATGAATCTCGTACTTCTCATGATGATCCTATTCGGCTCGGTTTCGTTAACCTCTCGATCGCTATGTCTTTGTTTGAGAAGTAAACATCCTCTGACTCCTCACCGCCATCTGGCCCCCTCTTCGATCTTCTCTTGACTGACTCTCACGATAGCTTCATGACGAGCCTCAACCCTTACATAAGTCAACTGGACCCGCAGCTACATACCTTTGACCGAGTCCGGCAACAGTCTTCATTCTTGCTTACAGCAATTCTAGCTGCAGCCGCCAAAGCTTTCAACCCAGCCCTCCACCAGAAGCTTCGTGACCACGCGGAAGATATCCTGAGCGACAGCTTTCGTACGGGTATCAAGTCAGTCGAAACTGCCCAAGCGGTTATGATTATGACATATTGGAAAGAGTCCGAGGACACACGCGCCTGGATGTTCCTGGGTTACGTGATAAGGATGGGCATGGAGCTGGGTTGGGATCGACTAACGTCTTATTCCCCTCAACGTTCAGGCTCCGGGACGGATCTTCAAAACCGTCAAACAAGAAATATTGAAAGAACGTGGTTCGTTCTATTCGTTTACGATCGAAGGTAAGATGAACCAGAATGATCTCGAAAAAAAAAAGCTTGCAGTTTCTGACATGTTTCAGTATGAGTTTACAAACAGGAAAACCCTGGATGATCGAGCGAAGCGAGCTCATCGAGTCTATCGGGGCGTGGTGCAGAGACGCCATGGCCACGCCTGGTGATCGACTGCTTGGTGCATTGGTTACATTGCGTCTTTTGAGCTCTGAGGTCTTCAAGCTGTTGGGCCCAAGGTCGAGTAGATTACGTGCAAGACAACTGCATAGCCTCGAATCCCTACTTGCTATCATCAAAGGCAGGGTCGAAGAATGGGAGTCGAGGTGGCTTCAATTAGCAGATAAAGGTACACAGCACCGACTTTGGTCTATAACTAGCCAGCTGATCTCCTCTCACAAAACAGACACTTGCCATCCCTTCCTGATTCAGTTTTATGGCACTCACCTGCGGCTCCAACTGTTCTCGTTGCCCCTACAAGATATGTTAGCACAATCGGAGCATGATGTGTCTTATCATATGGAATCCTTCTGGGTTAGCTATTCTAGTGCCTTGGAGATGCTTCATTTGATATGCCGTCATTCATCGTGGTTGTATTTTGCTCAGGACTCTATCCACGTGATGACTGCCTATGGTGCTGCATTTCTGACCAAGGTGAGATATATGCCTTGGTCTCGGTCGAATGGTGCAACTTCTTTGCTAACAAGCGATAAACAGCTCTTGCTGTCTACTTCAGACCCAATATCTCGCCAAATTGAAGTCGACGTTCACAGCGCAATCTCAGGCGCAGCGCTAGTGTTCTCCCAGCAGGCTGCGCCGTCAGGCTCAAGCTGCGCGCTGCAGTCCAGGTTTCTCAACAACATGCTGGCTAGAATATCCAAGCACATCGACAAGGAGGCGGTGAACAAAGAAAGCAATCCTTCCGAACCTCAGAGCCGGCCTGGAGCAAACAGGCATGAGTTCTTGACGGGCGATGCCGCAGCAGCTCCAGGCCACATTTACAGCTATATGGAAGGAGGGCAGACTTTGGGTTTTGCAGAGGATGAGACATGGGCTGGTATCATGGCTGAAGCCGGCTTCAATGCCCAAGACGGAGTGTTCTTCGCTTGAGTATCATCAGGAGTTATATACAAGATTTTGGGGCCATTCTGCACTACTATCTATGTATTGGCAGAGCTCAGAGGTACTGCTGTTGTCTCTGAATGGCGAAAAGTCCTAATCCCCTCTCGGATTATCTTCAGTTGAGAAGGGCAACAAGGATCCGGACAAGCGATCAACGCATCGGTCGACATCCAGTCATTTCTGGAAGTGACCCGTTGCTTTGCGGGCAGAAGTGGCAACACAGATGCTACCCAGATCATCAGTGTATTATCACAAATGAAGCTCAAAATGTTGAATTACACAAACTGTAAATACTGATACCTTGGCCTGGCGGTAGGTAGAGCATCTCGCCCTGAAGGGTAAAATAGTCACCTTCTTTGGCCCCGCACATGATCCTTTGTCCAGGCGGGCAAACAACTTCAACCCGAAGGCCGTACAGCTGGAAAGCGTCATCCAGAGTTGAATCGGATGTCATGACTGATTGTATCGAAGGACTTGATATATCGGTGGGCAGTCGTTCTCGAGACAGAGAAGGCACCATTGACGTGCAATGACACTTTGTGTCGGTTAACAAACTGTTTTATCCCCGCATGGGTGGGCGTAGCCAAGCTTATCGGTCGGGGTTCAAAGCCGGAGCTTGACCCCGGTACCGGCGTTCTAACTGCCGATCATGGCACCTTCGATGCACGCCGATTGGCTGCGGAGTTGCGCAGATTTGCACTCATATCTGAAGACCCTGAATGGCAGCTCCGGACGCGTTATCAAAACAACTCCAGTGGCTATCACTAAGAGCCCTCATTAACATCTGTCACCCACATTTGTTAGCTATGGGGCGTCACCAGGCAATGCATTCGACATCTTGAGCGAACAACGTGCACATCCAGCTCCGTACAGTATCTTAGGCACTTGCATCCACGTTGAGCCATCAAAATGGAGGGGAAGGAGAAAGACGAGACCATACTTGGAGCGTCCCCGGAGATGGATTCAGGATCCGCCCAAGACACTCCTGGTCACGGCGAGAATGGGGGTATTAAACGCGACTTGGAATCTCGGCACATCAACATGATTGCAATCGCAGGAATGATTGTAAGTTCTCGTTCCCCACAAGGAGGAGGCTTTGTGTACACAAACCGAGAATCGTTCTGACACCTACTTAAGGGAACTGGCCTGTTCCTGAGCTCGGGCTCGACTATTGTCACTGCCGGCCCTGGTGGTGCTTTGTTGGCTTACATCGTGATGGGACTCGTCACTGCTGGTGTATCTTACACCACGGGCGAGATCACCTCTTTCATGCCATCGACAGGCGGATTTATACGTCATGCAACCAAGTTCGTTGAGCCAGCGCTCGGCGCTGCCACTGGATGGAACTTTTGTCAGTTACCAGGTGCGAATCCGCTATGAGGAAACTGTTAACATTGAGCCAGGGTACACAATGTCCATTTCCGTTCCTGCTGAAATCAGCGCAGCTGCAACGCTGATCCAGTTTTGGAACACGTCCGTCAACCCAGGCGTTTGGATCACTGTGTTCTTGGTGTTTATCATTACGATTAACTTCTGTGGCGTTCGACTCTACGGTGAGGTACGAGCTATCTACTTATCCCGATTCCCCTCCCCAGCCGTTGGTGGCACAGTTGCGGCATTGATGGCATGACTGGAAAGCTTACAACCCGAGCAGAGCGAGGTCGTGTTTGCGTCCCTCAAAATTATGACGATCATTGGCCTTATCATTGGCGGCCTTGTCATCGACCTGGGCGGAGGACCAAACGGCGAGCGCATAGGATTCCGCTACTGGCAGGACCCCGGCGCTTTTAACAGCTACCTCGTTCCAGGCTCAGCTGGCAATTTTTTGGCTTTCTGGAAGGTCCTGCTCTCGGCCGCGTTCAGCTACGGCAATATACAAGTTGTTGCCATCTCCGGATCCGAGACGCAAGAGCCTAGGAAGATTATTCCTGCGGCAACCAGGAAAACGTTCTTCCGGGTGTTCTTCTTTTACGTTCTCAGCATTCTCATCGTTGGAATGATTGTGTAAGTCTTGCTTCATTCTCGTGCTTCGCAAGGTCATAACTGAGGTGGTTGCATCCAGGCCATCAAACGACCCCTCCCTGAGCATCTCAACGGGCACAGCACAGCAGTCGCCATTTGTCATTGCCTTCACACGTTCCGGGGTTTCGGTTCTACCTTCAATTATCAACGCAGTTGTATGCACTTCTGCCATCAGCAGTGGATCGGCTTGCGTTTTCATTGCTTCTCGGACTCTCTATGGTCTGAGCTGCGATGGTCACGCTTCCAAGATCTTCCAGCGCTGCAACAGGTTTGGAACGCCTCATTACGCCGTGGGGCTGACTTGTCTCTTGATGCCGCTTGTCTACCTCAATGTGGCCAACAACACTTCCGTGGTTTTTGGCTGGTTCCTCAATATCACGACTGTTGCTGGCCTCATTGGTTGGATCGTCATTGAGGTGACATATCTTCGGTTCTATGCTGGACTTAAATCACAGGGGTATTCTCGAAATGGTAAGCTTTTCATTGCGCTGAACTTTTTGTGAGAAAATCGCAGTTAGCCTAACTGTAGTATTTGCAGATCTCCCCTACCGCAGCCCGGGGCAACCCTATGTATCGTGGATCACCCTAGTCATGGTGTGCCTTATTGTGTTTTTCTCAGGTGAGTCCACTGCCATCGACTTCGAGGCGTTCTGTCGTTATGGGAACTAACACTATGAATAAGGGTTCGACGTATTTACCGCAGGAAATTTCACTGCATCCGGGTTTCTTACCTGCTATCTCAATATTTTCATCTTTGCCGGTGCGTATATTAGTCCACAGCCCAAAGACTATGAGCTGATATGGAGTTCAATACTCAGCTCTCTATGTTTTCTTCAAGCTACGCCTGAAATCACGCATCGTCGCCGTGAATGAAATGGACTTTGAAACAGAATTCACATCCATCAGGCAAGAGAAAGCACAGAAGGAAGTGTACGGGCCTCCGAAGAAGGGCTTGAAGCAGTTGCTTCACAAGATCATCCACACTGTATAATCTTTTAATTGGAGCATAGACGCATTCCTGGAGTCAGAAAAGGTTGACAAAGGGCATATTCCATCCAAGGGGGCATAGGCCCGCCACCTAAGTCTCATATATTCGGCAACAGTCGTTGTTCGTGATGCGAATCAAGTGTTAGTCCCTGAAGTTGTTACCTGGATAATATTTTCTGTCATGTCAAAATGTTTGCTGGAATGACGCCGGGAATCGAAATCTTCTTGGTACTAATTCACCTAATACAGAATTGGTGATTGAAACGTACTGGTTGATGAGGACAGCGACACATCATGAGTTTCACCTCCGCCCGGTCACACGGCTAGGTCCCTTCAATTCAGATTATTTTTGAAATTGAATTCTCTTTATCTTGCGTATACGATTAAAGGTGTCGTACTGGAGTTGGAGTCCCCTGGTCCCACGGCTAGTTGCTGCGGCTCAATCATGTCTTAGGAGGTTGGTTCCTAAGATACGTTTAGAAGGCGGTCTCTCTCGAGGTAGCATAGCGCTGCATAGGTACACAACTATAATCTAACACAGTTTAACAACATAGAGAGACTAAGCGCAGTGGACACTCGGTTTCGAGAAAACTCTCTATGCAGCTCTCGGTATAGGCCAATCGGCGTCCATTGTTAGCGGCGCCGACAGGTTCCCGTTCGGTAATCAACACACCCTCGGCATCTAAAAGGTGGTTCTGCTGAAGGCAAGACACCGGGCAACTTTCCGAACCAATCATACATACACTTGCGTTCGGCAACGGCCAACCTCTAAAGATGGTATAACAGACCAGAAAACTACCACTGGTGTAACGATAAGCGTCTAGAGTATTGGTACAGACAGCATGGCGTTTGGATCAATTTGACCATGTTGGTCCACCGGTTTGGCTTCTCTGACATGGATGAAGCTCGCAATGTTCTTCTATGAGACCCTGAGACGAAATCCAGTTGTAATTTGATATAGCAGAAACAGACATGATGCTCAAGGAGTGGAAGACGAGGGACACATTTCCATTTTTGGCTTTTTTCCGATGCGAAAGGGTGGACTAAGCGTGAGCCCCCTTGGCTGGCACGATTCACACGAACACTTTGACAAGCCGTGCGTCCGGCGCTGCACATCCGATTCAATTACTTTCGTCTGGCGTTCATGTCCGGTAGAATCGGCCGAAGGTCGCATCAGAAGAATCCTATCCTTTCACGTTTCCGACGTGCTTGCGGGTCTGGACGTACCTTGTTTCACCTGTATTCTGAGACTCGCTCAAGATGTGTTTCCCCCTCCTCGCTGATCAGAGCTTCAGATTTCGAGGACCTCCAGTGCTGGATGGCATTTGCTCACATGCTGATACATGCTGGCGGTTTCGGCTACATTCGACATTCAAATCGTGCCTTCACACCCACTGGGCTGCGGGAGAGTATGAAGAACAGTTCATACCAGATTGCACACCACCAAGCAACCAGGCAGTGACTGCGTTTCTTGGCTTCTCCCCCCCCTCCTTAAACTATCGGAGCAAGAACTATCGAATATAACCTTTGGCTTGCAGGGACAGACCTTCAGACTCACTTGGTGGCTTGGAGGTAATTTGTGTCCTTCGCATCAACTCGACAAGCTGCACAGGACGATTGGCGTGCAAGGCGAGCTTTCAATGTCTTGCACACCAAACTCTCGTCGGTGCTGCACGGAAAAGTAGCCATTAAAATGCCACCAAGGTTGTCTATTCATGTACTTAACCATTCGACGGGACACAATTCAATTCACGTACGCGCTGTATTTTCTCGAAGACCTGCCAAATCGTTCGATGGAACCCTTGAGGACCCTTCGTACATGCGGAAGACAGACGGCCGAGGGCGCTCAAGCTCGCACCCAAAGGTGGTTTTGCGCCTAGAGACCCACGTTCATACGGGGTGCTTTGTTCATTCCGAGAAACAATCCAGGATGCCCATGATTATCGTTTATCAGAAGCATGGGAAAAGATCCTTGGCGAAGGAAACGAAGCTCACTAACCGAGGGGCGGCTTTGTCGGCTGTGAGCGCCGTGGGGGATCGCCAGATCCGCCAGCGTGGGAGGAGAGTTGAGCAGGGATCCGTCCGCGCGTTTCACGTTTCACTTCGGCGAGCGACGTCGTGTCATGGTGTGCTGGGCGTGCTGGGGTAGCCGATTTGGGCTCGAGAGCGTTTAACTAGCTGAAGTGGCGGTTCCATTTCTTTTTAAGAAACTCTCCGGTTGGTCGCGGTTTTGATTGTCGCCCAGGTTGTTGGAGGTGGCTTTGCTGCCGAGAAGAGCGTTTCCGACACCCGACCTAACCTCTAAACAGCGAATCTCGAGGCATACTCCAACATGTTGATACTGCTGCCCGGGCCCGCGTACCTTCCTGAGTAATATATGGGCTTCATGTAGGCCTGGTGTTACGCGCGACCTTGAACAGGGTGTACCATTTCTACCTTGAGATCAACAAAGGTTCATCAAGTGGAATATGGGCCACGCTCATTCGTGCGATGCGAGTGGCCCAACAAACTTGCCTCACATCCCCTTTTGCATCAGATCTAGTGGCCTATCGGGCAAGGAACTCTCCCTGATCCATGCATTGACGTCAAGTACGAAGACAGCAGTCAATGCGACTGCGGACGGGAGGCTTAGTCCGAAGGGGAGCAGGGAACAACGCGTCGAGTCGAGTCTTCTTCCCCGGGCCTCTCACCCCTCCTCTATCTCGACTTGCGCAGAGGAAAGAGGGGTGGGCTGGATCGGCTACGAGGGTGAACCATGGGCAATATGTGAGCTCAGTTACGCTTTTGGGAAGGTCATGGGCTGAGGCTCTGTCTGTCTGAGCAAAGGTTGTTTGCCCCTCCTGGCATCGAGTGACTGCCCTTTGCTCAAACCCCACATGAGAATAAGGTTTTAAAGGCGGCGCAGTACTGCAGGTGTCTGAACATGTCTGTGTGAGTCTATAAGCCTCAGAGATCCCTCCTCCCCTTTCCTCCCGATCTTGCTGGACATACACGAGACAATATACACCGTACGACTGTTTCCTCCCATCGATTTGACAAAAACAACACACACATATACATTCTACGACGGTCGACAAGATGAAGTTCACCACCGAGCTCACAGTCCTCGCCCTGGCCATGGGCGTCTTCGCCGAGCCCCCCACCAAGGTCGTCGCCGAGCGTGACCTGGCCACCATCCAAAACGTCATCACGCAAGTCGGCAACTCCCTCAAGGAACTCAACACGGCCGTCGAAGGCTTCAACGGCGACCTCACCGGTCTCGCCACTGCCGCGGGAGGCTTCACCAACGTCCTCAGCCAGGGCACACAGCAGGTCCAGGGCACGAGCGAGATCACGCTCAACGAGGCGCTCCAGCTTCAGCAGTTCGTCTCGGGCCTCCAGAGCGACGGCAACGCCCTCACCAAGAACCTCGAGAAGAAGAAGCCCGAGTTCGAGAAGGCCAACCTCTGCGGCATCATCTCCTCGCAAGTCGGCACTGTCGGCGACAACGCGAAGAAGCTCATCGATGCGGTTGTTTCCAAGGTTCCCCAAAGCGTTCAGTCCGTCGCCAGTCAGCTTGCCGGTGGCTTCTCCTCGACACTGTCCTCAACCCAGCAGAGCTTCGGCGAAGGGAACTGCACCAACGCCAACATGGCCGGCAACAGCACGGGACCCGGCGGCGCAAAGCCTTCCAAGCCCGCCACTGCGGGCTCTGGTGCCGTCTACGCCAGCCTTGGCTCCATCGCCGCCGCAGCGTTCGCTGTCATGCTGTTGTAAAACGTTTTAAGGAAGAATTGGGTCGAGGAGTTTTGTGGTTCAAGCAGAGATGAGAGCTTTTGGGTAGTGGGTGCGCTCGGGAGATATTAAAAAAACACTTTTTTCACTTTATCTATGATGGTCTATTCACCCCCTTCTATGTTAGCACGCCAGGTGGATAAGAATACGCTGTATCATACGGGCTTACGTAGAGAATGCGAAAGATGCTTTATTAGCCATTGAGGGTATGAAGTGATTGCAGGCCGCCATAACAACGAGTCTAGCCTTCCGCTGGCAACGCTTCGAGCTCCGTTTAAGCGCTCTTCACTTCAACTCTGGAAGACAAAAGGTCCTGGGCCGAAGCCCCGACTCGTCTCTTGACGCGGTACGGAAGACGGAGGTGGAAGAGGGCAAGTCGTGCATGGCGACGCCGTGGCGTGCTGCTGCAGCACCACCGCCCTGGCTCGGTGCGTTCCCTTGGACAGACGTGGTCCCGCCAGTATTACCGTCCTTCTTTACAAGCCACCTCATCCTCGCCCAAGGCAAGAAATTGTAATATCCGCCGCACGCAAAGACGCCGCACCAGAGGATAAACTCGGTGGCGTATATGACGATGCCCAAGATGTCCGTCTTGGCCTGGAAGAAAATGGACGCAAGGGAGAAGACGTCACCGGCGGCATCGATGGCGACGAAGACGAAAGAGATGCCGCGCACGGTACGGTGAAGGTAGATGTCCCAGTAATGCCGCAGCACACCAGCGGCCAGCAGCGCGGCTGAGAGCACAGCCATGAGGATCATGGGCCACTCGACGCCGCGGTCCTTGATGATGCGCAGGCCGATGACGAGGGCAACCTGTATGCCGGCCATGACGGCTGCAATCGGCGCCACGACAGCGAGGGAGCGGAGGACGGACCAGGCCTGGAGGGAGGTTAATCGCTTTGCATAGGGGCGGAACGTTTGAAGCCGGCATGACACACCCGCTGATAGTAATAGCATTGAATCCAGGTCGCGAGACTGAGGAACGTCAGGATCTGGGGCTGGACCCGCAGCGCAACGTTAAATCCCTCAACGATGTTGTAGACACCGAGCGGCACGCCGGCCCAGGCCCAAAGCATCATCATGGAAGGCTGCAGCCCGGTCGCGTTGTGGCGACGGTAGTTGACGATGATTTGAGGAATGAGCTGCCGACACCGGTCAGTGACCTGAGCAGTCCTGTCTGAACCGATGACCCAACTTGAATTGACCAGCAGACCTGCGATGCATAAGTTTGGCTTCAAACGGTGCGAATGGCCGGGTTCACGTACTGCACCGAGAGTGCCCAGGGCGTTTGCGGCGGCCGGCACGTCCATGCTGGGGCGATCAGCGCGTTGATGCAGCCCTAGCAAAGTAGTCGTGCACTTTATGTGTCTTATTTGCGCCGCAAAAAAGATTAAAATAAAAAAAAAGCAAGGTAGATAGATAGACCTTCTGATGAGAGTTGGATGATGAAATTTCTACACGCAACAGCTTTGTCCGTGAGACGCCAGAAAGATGAATACAAATGAAATCAAAGACAAAAAAGACTTCTCCCCTTCCAGAATCGAACTAGAGACCTTTCGATGACAATGTAACCATTACAGTCGAACGTGATGAACCAACTACACCAAGGGGAGGATCGGGGCTAAGCCCCGCTTGGTATGTCAAATCGTCCGTGATCAGTATCTAAGACTGATGGATCATGCGGCCCTCCCTCATTCACTTGCAAGTATCTTCATCTGCGGTTGCTTCTTCTTCACATTGACAGTATTTCGGAGAAATAATAAAACACTAAAGCTGCTTCTCAAAGTTTGTTGTTTTCCGAAATATTATGTCGCTATTTATCAAATGCATTTTTTCTTGAGACTGACAGACGAGTAAGATCAACACGAGAGAAATTGAAATCCTGCAAGGCTGTCATCCTGGTAATACATCGCCATTTTCATACACGCCAACTGATAGCAACGACCTCTTACTCGTCCCACTCGACCTTCATTGTCGTCGGAACGGGCCAGAACGAGCTCTGGTCGGCCGTCATGAACGCCCTCAGACCAAGCCAAGGCTCGTGGCTCTTGCCGACACCGTTCTGTGAGCCGACGGGAAGGCCAACCTGGCCCTTCCAGGCGCCAGCAGGCATGTTCTTGAGATTCCCCCGCTCGCCCTCGGCTCTCCTCAAGTTCTTCAGACCGACAATCTGCTTGAACAGGCTCGTCTGCGCGACACGGCTAATCTCCTTGCCAGCGCACCAGTGCGGCCCGAGGCCAAAGTGTACGTACGACTCGAGGGGCCGGTCGAGGCGCACCTCGCTGGGAGATTCGAAGATGGTCGGGTCGCGGCCTGCGGTCATGAAGTTGCAGATCACGCGCTGGCCCTTGGGGATCTTGACCTCGTACTTGGTGCCCTCGATGTCGTCGTTGACGACGGGCTTGCGCGAAGTAGGGTCGTTGGGGTCAAGCAGGCAGGGGGCATAGTCGGTGATGACCTGGTCGGTGACGGCCTCACGGTACACGGCGACGGCGGCGCGAAGTCTGCATCCCTCGAGCATGCTTGTGGCCTGTTAGTAAAATGCGTGCATGAGCCGGGTGAACGGGGCAAGGACTTACTACTTCATCAACTTCTCGTCTGCCTCAGGCGTGTTCTGGTGAGCCAGGTGGTACAAGTCGCCCAGGTACTGCTTGCCCTCGCCGAGGTAATAGTCGATGCACATGGCCGTAACCTGCGACTGGTTCGTGACGTTGGCGGTGATGACGGGCATGATGGTGCCCCAGATGACCTCGTCAATATCCTTGCCGTCGGCGATGAGCCGCTCAATGAGGTGGTTTCCAAACGTGGGAAGCGACGCCTCCCCCTCCCTGATCTTTGCGACAATGTCTGTGATTAAACCGGCCTTTGCGATGGTTTGCACAACGAGCGTCATGATCTTTCCGAGACCCTGCCCGAGCTCGCGCGCAATCGTGCGAAGCTTAAAGCTGTTGGCAATGTCTGCGTCGAGGAACACCGACTGGAAGAGGGTGGCCACGACCATGTACAGCTCTTGGTCGGTGTAGACGCCCCACGGTGAGTCCTCGTTCTTGATGGGCAAGCAGAAAAGGGCAGCGTTGAAGCGGGTGTTGGTCAGGTTGATCACGTCGCGGACGATGTCGACCTCATTGACACCCTTGCGTATAGCAAAGCTATGCTGCTCCAACAGCCTGGGTGTCATGTGGGTGTACCAATTCCAAACCTCCTGCTCCCACGGACCAGAGATCAGGGCTTTCCTGACCTGCGTACGGTTCAGTAAGTTAGCCTTGCCGTCTCCGGACAAACAGAAGTTCTTTGAATAGTCCTTTCCGGGCTGGGCGACCAGATGGCGGATGGCCTCTCCCCAAATGACCTTAAAGTCCGCTTGGTTGTAGAGGACATCGCTGATAGCCTTGTGGGACAAGATGGGGATTACGCTGGCCTTGGTTTCGGGCTCATCCCAGGAGTACAGATAGGCTCGGTCGATGCTCTCGAGGATCTTCCTGTTTTCCGAAGGTACTGTGAAAGGGTAGTGCGCGTAGATGCTGTTCGCCTTGAACGAGTTGGGGAAAGCGCGATAGACCAGCTTGTAGAAGACATGGCTCTGGTCGACGTTAGGGTCGTGGCTGGCCTGGTTGAATCTAATCATGTGTCAGTGTTTCCTTGGGGTAGCAGTGATTGCAAGGTTTTGAACCCACCCCCAATTAGTGAGATTCTTTGGAGTGTAGTCAATCGTGTAGAAGCGATCGCCACGGACTAGGGCAACGGCATCTGAGAGGATAGCCCGGGTCATGGTAAAGTTGCCACACAAACCACTACCCGGGGCCATGGCCGGCTTGGCCTTCTCGGAAACCAATCCCGGGTACAGCTCAACCTGGTCGGGAGTGCCGTAAAGGTATCTGAGCTTCTCGGCGACCTCAGGGTCCGGGTTGATGTCCTCGAACGTTGGGTGCGGAGTGAGGCCGGAGTGCTTCCGGAACTCATTGAGCGTGGCAACATTCCACTTCCGGGCGTTGATGATGCCTAGCAGTTCGATGGGCTTCATGATCTCCGGGATCCTATTGGCGCCGTAGGAGCCGGCCACATCCTCTACACTCTCCTTGAATATCCGGGCCAGGTCTTCTTCGCGGAAAGAGCCATCCTTGCCCCGGCTGAGATCGGCAAAACCACGCTCGACTGGGTCGTTGGGGATGCGCAAATCCCAATCCCGGATGGCGTGGCCAAATTCCTTCAGAGTGAAGTCTTCAACCTTCTTCTTAGGGTCTTCTGAATCTTTTAGTACCTTGGCGAACGTCTCCTGTGTCCACTTGTCGTCTCTGGGGGAGATGGAACAGTGCCATCTGTAGATGAGGTTGAATTCCACCGACACTTGATTGCCGGTACCCTCTGGAGTCTCTGCTTCGAGAAGACTCTTGCCCTCATTGGTGCGGGGGTCCAGAGCCCAGCTGGAGGCCGTTCGGTTCATGTTCAAGATGGTACGGACATAGTCGCGGAGGACGATACTGACATAGAGACCGCAGGTGATGAGACGGGCCGTTTGGAAGAGGTCATTGTCGTACTTGATCCAAGCCATCCGATGATCAAAGGGTCGCTTCTCGGCCAAATAGGTCTTGTACTCATCCGAGTTCTTGTCGACGTCGTCGTCCGGCTTCTTCGGCTCTGATGGGATGGCGTCGGATGGAGCGGGAACAGGGCCTTTCGGCCTGGTGAAGCGGTTGTTCTCGTTGATGCTATGCACGATTAGCCTGTTTCTCGCTAGCTGACCAAGCGCAAACGGTGGAATGTCCTACCTGGCTAACTGTGTCACGACATAGTTGTGGAAGCGGTTGAACATGATCAGAAGCACGCCAACACCAGGAGGAAAGCCGAGGACTCTCTTGGAGGAGAACGAGTCAGGCTTCAGTCTCCCGTCTAGTTTTGTCCTCATATCATCTTGTTCTTTCTGGTTGCGACCATAGAGGGGAGCAAGGTCCAGATACGATGAGGTCTGGTTGATGTTGCTTGACTGGCCATCCTAACCGCGTTCGGTAAGCAATTGACAGATTGAAACTACATGGAAGGACAGGAACACTCCTCACAGTCTGAAAGATGTCGTGGGTAATGATGGTGGCGAAGTAGAAGAGGACACTTGAGAGCTTGTTGGGGTGGGGCTTGAACTCATCGCCTCTGGCGAAGAGCATATCGAAGATGAGGCTGGGCTCCGGCTGGTTGGGAGTCTGGTAGGTGATGGCCGGCGTTGACCGGGCATACGCCGTACCTGCGGCGCCCATCTGCGGGCTGTGGATGTTGTTGTTGGAGCCATCCGCGGCACGGTACTTGTACTCATCGGCCAGCGTCGTCATAGGCGGGTGATCGATGCCGTTCCACAGTTGATTGATCAGGCCATACTCCAGCTTCTTACCCTTGACTGTGCCAGCGGGCAACTTGGCAAAGAGCTCGATTAGACGCTCCAAGAGCAAGTCGTTGTCGTTGATCTGTCCTTTGACAGCGGAGCCGAGGAATTCGGCTAGTGTGTCGAAATCCTCAAATCCGAGTTTCTTGACGTCTTGGAGAAGATTGGTCGGCTCAGGCTCCTGGGCAGCGCCGCCAGGAGTTGGTCCAGGGTAGGGAGGGATTGGGGAGATGGACTTTTGGAGAACATCACGGACTGCGGCCAGCTTCTCGGACAAGGCCGGCTGGTGCTTGGGGTACTGCTCCGGGGCTTGAGACATTCTGGTAAGTGTTCCAGTCGACTTCAAGCTATAAGAGAGAACGAAAGGCGGCGGGCGTTGCAGAGAAGGAAAAGGGCAGACCAGAGACTCGCAAATGATGGATGGGCAGCTTGTCCCCTTCATATATGCGAGTCCAGTCTCGGCCCGGCAGACCTAGCTGCAGGCAAGATTGTCCAAGACAGCTGGAACATGGAGATACTGTTGTTCCCTATGCCCCCAGCGATGACGAGACGCAGACGACGTAGTCACCATGCCAGTTGATGTTGAAGACCATTTGTGTGGGATAGTTCCATTTCCCACCCCCCCCCCCCCCTTACTGGCGCTGAGGTCAGCTACCCAGACCCCACAGCAGTAGCATGGGTAGTACTAAATAGGCAATAGCGCTAGCCGATGAACCAAGTGTATGCGGTCTTTCCAGTGGCGTTCTAGGCTTCCCGCTGCTACATAGTAGCCTTGTCATCCTTCCTGTAAGGCTCCGTTGCCGAGGTATCCCAATCGCGGGGCCGGCTTCCCCAAACGGAGAAGTCGACAGACTGAGATGATGAGGCGATGCGGTCGGTGACAAACCGGAGGACACGATTGGGCGAGATGCGAAGTGAGGAAGTAACCGCCATGCGTCGCCGAACCAATAATGGATGGCATGGCAGACTGATTCCCGGCATCGTGGGGGCCGCGAGGGCGGAGCTGAATGTACCATGCATGACTGCCTGCCTGCCTATCCGGATAAATAAAAGAAAAAAGGTCGCGGACACAGTCGAGTGGGTGAGAGGACGAGAGAGGTACGAATCGACTCGGGTCTGGCATGTCGTCCTTGTCTTACTCCCTCCCTTCGTCATGGAGAGAAAAGCATGGCCATGCGAGACGCTGAGCTGATTGGGAAGAATAAGAACGGCTGAACACTGCTAGTATTCAACGATGCTAGCGAGATGAGACGGGGGCCAATCATTGGAGACATGTTCCTTTCCGTACGGATTCCGCTCGCCCTTTGATCCGGTGCTAGGCACCCCCTGAACGGAGCGATGACTCTGGCTCTGTCTTGGTCCGGGATTTCGGTGAATGTTTGGCAGCCCCGAGGGGGCCAGCTAAGTCAAATTTTGCCGGAAGCCGAGTCAACATATGATTGGGTTCACCCCGAAGAAGGGTCATGACCAATGCCAATTCCATACGGCATAGCCTATCTCTTACCTTCCTTAGTCGGACTGAAGTATCACAAGGTGCACGTTTCGGCAGGAGCTGCCTCTCATACATTATCCCTGTTCTAAACATACGCCAGTCCCAGGCTCCTCGAATTTTCCACCGATATATCGGTAGCGGGGTCGTTTACAGGGGCACCGCCCGGAACTACTGGGCCGACTTCGACTGAGAGGTGTGTGTGTGTGTGTGTGCGTGAAAAGGCTGAGTGAGTTACCAGGTATTGCTGCCCGCCGTGCACCAAGAACGCTTCGGTGGGTTCTGATGCACGTGAGGAAGCAATGTCCGTAGCACTGCGCCTCTCTGGTGCGGTGCGTTGCAGTAGCTCTGCGCCAACATGTGGACAGCCCCTAGGCAGCAGATGAAGCTGCAGACGGCTATGTCCGTGATGATGCGATGGAGGCCAGCCAGCACAGTATCAAAAAGCTGGCTGGTCATCGTTAAGCAATTCTGCTTCGAGATGGACTCGGTGCCGCTCCCTTGGATTGCGGGGCTTCAGGCACGAGGACTTGTAGCGGCCCGGGCCACTGAGTTCTCGATTTCCGCCTGAGGCTTGGCGGCCGAACTTTGGATCAACTAGTATTAACAGCTGTCCCTTTGGAGCAACCTCTCCGCGCCCGCGCGGGTGGTGTTTTGCGTGCCACACGATATCCCTGTCAAGCATAGCGGCCGTCTCTGAGGCTTGGTCGAGTACGCAGCGAGAGTATGAACTCAACTGTGGTTGCAGTTGGAAGGCATTTCCGCTGCACTGCTTCGATAAGGTCTCTTCACCGGAACATCATTCAACCAGTTATTTCAGGGTTCTGCAAGCTATAGAGACGAGAATTATCGGTATCCCGCATGCTAGCTACGTCGTTTCCAAGACATGCGAGTACCTAGCGGCGGGCGTGGTCGCTAGTGTGTGGTGTGTAAGCTGGCCAGAGACCTGGGCCGTCCACTTGTGAAAACCGATGAGGGGCGTAGGGCTGAGAAGGCATCTCCACAGACAGAAGCTGCAGATAGGCAGGCAGCTGACCAAAGAGGAGGCGATGTCTGATCTCGCGCGATGCAGTCAGCGGGACTTGGCCGTGCGGGAGTAGTTCGGCGGAGCCCAGACGCAAAGAAAGATGACAGGAGAAGAGAGACAGAGAGAGAGAGAGGGCGAGAGAGAGCGGCAGCTACTACCTAATATAGCGCCTTTAGTGCTGATGAGGGCGGGTGGTGGGCTAGTTCGACTAGGTATTGTATGTTTCGTTGAACAGGTATTCGTTGGGCGTAGCGCCCAGCAGCGGTCGTCCCGGCGGCAGATGTCATCATATTCCACAAAGTCTGGACGAGATTCAGTTTCATTCCGAGCCTTTGGCCTCGTTGAGGACAGTGCTTCGCGCCGGCGTGGTAGTGTAATCATGCTGTCGTACCTCCATAGCGATGGTATATACACCTACTATGTATATGTATGGCCTATCAGAAATGTGGTCTGGCGAGTGAAGACGCGCCGTACCAAATCATTCTAAAGCACAAAAGAGGTAGGTCCTCTCTACTGAACTTGGGGGCTCAGGTGCCGTTTCGTATTTCGGGCAGCGTTGCCAAGGCGCTTGTCAGGGGCGAGGCATTGAAAGAGATTGTCACTGAGGCCGCAGGAACGAGATGAGACGCGTTGGTACGAAGGGATTTTTAGGTTTTTTCTCCCCCCCATTTCAAAAAGATCGCCCGAGAGAACTCACAGACGGAGAAGGCAGCCATTTTCTTCAATGCGTGAGACATTGGCGTTTTGGAGGGGGGAGGGGAGGGGAGGGGAAGGTGGCAGACCCGCTAGGCACCTTTTGGGCTTAGAACAGGGGTCCTCAGGGACCTGTCTAGGTAAAGGCAAAGGTAGGTAGACAGGTTCCTACCTAGACAGGTTCCTACCTAGACAGGTTTCTACCTAAACAGGTTCCTTCCTACCTGGGAGAAAATGAGCAGGTGGATAAAGTGTAAGCTGCACGAGGGGGAAGGAGGGAAGCAGAGGTGGTATGCCGGAGGAGGGGGCGAAGGAAAGAGGGAAAGAGGGAAGGAGGGAAAGAGGGAAAGAGACCAACATGGCACCTACCCTACCGACCTCAATGAAAGGGTCATCGAGGTAAGAGAAGAGAAGGCAAGGACGGAGATGCTTGCTTGCTTGCTTGCTTGCTTGCTTGCTTGCTTGCCTGCCTGCCTAGGTAGGTAGGGGTGTAGATACTTGGTTGGGTAGGTGCTTGATTGACCATGCACGTTCATTCCATCATTGCGCCCCTTTCATGCTGCTTTTCGCCTTTAAACCCGTGCACTTTCTTACTGACTGAATCGCAAACTGTAAACCTGTCGTCATTCTTCGTCTCATGTCAACTTGGGTCGACTTGAGTCGGTAACGGTGTCTGTCGAAACAAAGGCGAGCGCAGCGTATTCGTCTTCTTGAACTCGCAATTCCAAACACAAGCTGCGCCGCATCGTGTTATCGCTCTTCCATCCCTACCTGCTGTTCAGATATACATTACGTACCTACGCCAAGACGCCTACTACACACAGTGCTCCGTAGGCTCCTTCTCGCTTCACCTCCTCCGGGGAAGGGGGCCTTCCAAATTACCTACCCTCGTCCTTGTCCATCCACTTCAGGCCACACATCCTCTTCCTCGTATCTCCCACCCTTTACCTTTTCCTTGGAGCAACTGTTGTCACTTTCAGGGCTTAGCGCCCGTCTGTCGAATCCCACACACGCCCATAGTCGCCAATCCCAAACAGCTCTCGACTTGTCCTTCTGCCGTCTTGCTCCCGTTTGACCTTTTTATCTTCCCATCAATCCAGCCGCTTCCTATATTTCGTGTCATCCGTATCTCCCCACCCTTTTGTCGACCCTTCGCGGCGCGTTCCGTTGTTGGACATCGTTGCCTCCGACCTGTGTCTCTCCGGGTAGCCCCCGAACTTTGTCGCAACCTCCGCAAGTCGTGACACGACATCGGCCGACCTCACACGACGGCTCACTTCTCTTCCATAAGTCGCAGTATTAATCGACATAACCGCCGCTTCCTACGAACCTCGATCGACCCCCGCTACACTTTCAGGAAAGGAACCCCCACAACCCCCCTCTCCAGGACATGCCGACCTCGTCCTTGTCGCCCTCATGATCTCCCTCGCCGTCCGCTCCATTCGCGGAGCCGTCGCCCGTCTCTCCCCAGCCTCATACCACTACTCCTCGCTGTCCGATTCAAACGCCCATTCCGAGCCCGCCTCGCCTGGCGGATCCAGTCCCGTCGCGGCATCAAAGCCCTTCCTCGCGAGACTGACGGCTATCCTCTTCTTCCTGCTGCCATCCTTCGTCCAGCGCCGACTTCGACCCCACGACTTCAAGCACCGCCGTCTGTACCCAACATCCTGGCTGGATGGCCTGCGCGGTATCGCCTCTTTCATTGTTTTCTTCTGTCACTTTACAGAAGGTCATTTTGGCTGGTATACCGCGAGGTCATATGGCGACCCCGATGAAAACGACCACGTCGCTTCCTCCCCTCTGCAACTCCCTTTCCTACGCGTCATCTACAGCGGCCGCCCCATGGTGCATATCTTCTTCGTCATCTCGGGCTTCGTCCTTTCTCTCAAGTCGTTAAAGCTGGCAAGGAAGCATGACTACGATGGACTGCACCGTACCCTCTCGAGCAGTATCTTCCGCCGTGGCTTTCGCTTGTTCCTGCCTACTGCTGCTTCGACTTTTATCGTCTTGGTCACAATCCGCCTGGGATGGGTCGGAGAGCCACTCCCAACATTGTGGGACCAGTTGGTGGATTGGAAGAACGCTGTGTGGAGGATTACCTTCAGTTGGGAGTGGGATATGACCCAGTTTCTCCCCTATGACACCCATCTCTGGACCATCCCTATCGAGTTCTCTCACTCGCTGTTGCTTTTTGTTGTACTGACGGGTGTAAGCCGCATGAAGACGTACTTGCGCCTCGCGTCCGTTTTCGCCATCATGATTTACTGCCTCAAGTGTGGCCACTGGGCCGGTTTTGAGTTCTTGGGTGGCATGGCTCTCGCGGAAATTGGCCTTATCCAAGAAGCTCGCCGCGAGCGAGCCACGGCTGCTGCCGTTTACAACAAGGAGGCATCTGACATGGAGGAGGCCTCCGTCGCGTCGGACCCGCCCTCGAGCTCTATGGCGACACGCTTGTTCAAGACATTCCTCATCGGCAACCTCATCTTCGCCCTCTTCGTCGCTGGATGGCCAAACCAAAAGGCCGACACCACCCCGGGATTGGCACCTCTTTGGCGCAACACCATGGAACCCTTCTTCACCATGGGCGGCGACCTCGTCTCATTCCCCTGGTACGCCCTTGGCGCTGTACAAATTGTCGCCACGCTGCAGCAGATCAAGACGTTACAGGACATCTTTGTAACGCCACTTGCGCAGTACCTCGCCGATATTAGCTACGCTCTCTATCTCGTACACGGCCCCATGTTGAGCCTCTTATCGAATCGTTGGATGCCGATTGTGTGGGCTTTCGTCGGCGGCAGAGACGAGGCCGGCGTGCTGGGACGACTGATAGCCTGGATCATCGGAGCCTTATTGATGACGGTTCCAGTCGTTTGGGGCAGCGACGTATTCTGGCGAACGGTTGATGTCAAGAGCGTGGAGTTGGCGCGATGGATTGAGGATCGTTGTACGCGAGACGAGTAGGCGACCGTGGCATGACGGGTAATTTTATATGTGCCGCACGCTGCGGACTGGCGTTTGGGTGGGTCATTGGATAGCGGAATAGACAGGCATTGCCTCAATCGATTGGCACAAGTGTAGAGCCGTTCTTGTCATCCATCTTTACAAGGTGATGCGACTTGCGTCACCTCGATACGCTCCGTCATGGTGAATTTTGTTTCGTGACCAAGGGAATGTGCGCAAAGGTTGAGATGAAGTCTCGTCTGATGCGGCGTATCCGGAAGGCAGGTTGTACAGGCTCAGCGCCATCACGAGTGGGAGGGCGTAACGCTAAAAGGACGCGGTGGCGGGCCGAGTATAACAAGCCGGCCTCCGGTTTATTGGCTTGAAGACGGGACACGCTTGATGGGCGGGAAGCCAATGAAGGACGGACACACATGCCGGATTAATGTGAGAGACTGAGAGAGGGACGAAGATGCTGCTGTGTCACGCCCGCTGTCGTCATCACTCTACCAGCTAGCAACAAATACTCAAGAGTGCGGGAACTACGGATACCAACGGGAGCCAGAGCATTGACGTTCGGGGTCTGTGGGTCCCGGAGTATGGTGGGGACGGCCGGGGCAATCCATCGCATCCCGTCGAGGCATCACGGCGGCTGCGCCGAAAGCGTCGAGCAGCCATCACTGATTGGGAAGCAGGTCTTTGCGGTCAAACTGTATCCCACACAGCCTTGATTTGCAGCCCCCAAGAAGAGCGGCAGGGTACCACGCCGCAACTCCCCCAGATTTTGAGAGCTCGCTATCTCCAAACTCCGGAACGGAGCCTTGGGCACCCCGCTTGATGGTCTCGGCGCTAGTTATAAATCCCTCCCTCGCATGTCCGAAAACTCGACCGGATGGTATCGGCGATTAATTACTTTGCAAGACAACACACCAACCAATCGGTCCGGGCTCGAGCCCGATACGTGAGGACATGGCCTAACGCCAAGGGAAGTTCTCGCCTGAGAACATGGGCCTGTGCCTTGGATGTATACGGAAGCGGTTCGGAAATGACATGTAGGATTGTATACCGGTATTCTTCGCTTCACTTCTGGCTCAACCCTCAATATAACCAATTGTAAGCAGATGTAATATGGGCACAATCGCTGGCTCAAGATCTATTAGGAAATTGGCAAACGAACTCCTCTTGGATTTGACGCGTATATAGACCGGCGAACGTCTCTTCTCCAGATATGCAAAGAGTGACCACATATAATCATAACATTTGTGGCCTCGCCGCCCTCCAATCGTCCCTATAACGATTTATCATCGGGGACAGATCTTATTACAACCAATCATGGCGCCACAGCTAGGCTTCAAGACAACGGGCACGGAGCTCGTTGCCGAATATGCCGAACATATAAAGGGCAAGACCATTCTCATCACCGTTGTCTCCCCTGGCGGCCTCGGCGCCGTCTTTGCGGAGAAAACCGCTGCCGGCGCGCCCACCTTCCTCATTCTTGCCGGCCGTAACGGGGAAAAGGTCCAGCAGACGGTGGACACCATCAGGTCCAAGCACCCCGATGTCAAGGCCAAGACTCTCGAGCTCGATCTTTCGTCGTTCAGAAGCGTGCGTAAGGCTGCGGAGACGGTAAATGGGTGGGGGGACGTTCCCAGAATCGACGTCCTGGTGAACAACGCCGGAATCATGGCGACGCCATGGGGGAAGACGGAGGATGGGTTCGAGATGCAGTTCGGGACAAACCACCTAGGCCCGTTTCTGTTCGCTAATCTTCTCATCGGGAAGGTCATGGCTGCCGAGGCGCCAAGGATCGTCACGGTCAGTAGTGATGGGCATCGGCTGGGGCACATCCGGTGGACGGATTACAACTTGAACGTGGGGTCCCTGCGGTTCTTTCTTTGCCCTGCCTCCCGGCTGACATATCGGGGATGATTTTCAGGATGGTAAGCACTACAACGAGTGGCACGCATACGGACAGTCCAAGACGGCCAACTGCCTGATGGCGATGTCGCTCGCCGAGAAGCTAGGTCGCAAGGGCCTCTTGAGCTTCAGTCTTCACCCGGGCGTCATCTACACGAATCTGGCGAGCCATTTGGAAAGCTTTGACTCTCTGCGTAAGTGGATTCTTATCTTGCTTCTCGTTGTGGGGTCCCCGCATGTTACTGAAACCCGGCGAAGGCGCCCAGGACATCAGCATGGGAACCAAGTTCATGTGGTCCGACTACAACCCCAAAACGGAAGACCAAGGTGTCGCGACGCACGTCTTCACGGCCTTCGACCCGGACCTCAACGGTGATTTTCCAACGAAATATACATTGTTGATACGCACGAATGCTAATGGACCTATAGAATTCAACGGCCAATTCTTCAACGACTGCCGTGTTGCAGACCAGAGTAACGAGGAAATTTACCCTTGGGCGAACAACAGTACTGAAGCCGATCGGCTGTGAAAGCTGAGCGAGAAGCTTGTTGGGGAAGAGTTCAGCTATTAACAGGGCCTCTTTTTAACTCAATGGTTCGTTTCGCAATAGCCCGGTAAGACTATGGCCATGTTTAGCCGCCTTGCATAAGGTCCGAGGTCATCCGACCTACTTATCCTGCTCAACATCATATTTTATTGTATTATACCTCGGAAACAAATCCATATAGAATCCATATCAGTCATAACATTCTTTACGGTATCTGTGGAACAACATCCCCAGGTCCTGGAGGAACGGTGTAGTCAGCCGGGAGGCCATCAACCGGAGGCGCCTGAGAGAAACATGTTAGCACAGCTCTCCTTTGACACAAGTGATACCGAGCACACATTCTTACCTGAATCTTCTCAGCGAACTTTTGGATTGCCTCGTAGTTCTTGCACATGTGTCTTGTGTTGAAGTCGGGGAAGGGGCTAGGAGGGTCATTGGCCCAGACTTGGCCCATCACGCCTGTGTCGACGTTGCAGACCAGGACTTGACGGATCGTATCCAGACAGTGAGCTATTCAACGTCAGCCTCAGAATGCGTCTTTATACTGTAGACGACACTACTCACTGACGTGGAGACGGAGGATATGTTCTTCGTTCTTGAATGCATGTGTGCCCATCTCCTTATAGTAGTCGTAGTTGTAGTACAGAGATTTTCGCAACAGGTTCTTAATACATCATCAGTTGCAATCCTCCAAAAGTTAATAGGCCAAGACCTACAAGACAGTGTAGGTGGTGCATGCCCTCAACGTTGACGAAGAAGCCCGCGCCGTACTTCTCCGATCGCCTCACAAAGGACATATCGAGGCCGCTCTTCAGGCCGTCTTCGATGGAGATCACACCGGCACGGTCTGCAGCATCATCAATAAACTGTACACGGCCTCGTCCTTTACGCCAACTCACAATCGACACCCATCGACTCCCACGCGGCGTCAACCTCGGGCGAGGCTTCTTTGCGGAAGATTTCCTCTTGCAAGAAGGAGCCGTTGAAATGCTTCCAGTCATACTTGATGTCTACTTCCCTGAGCACCGGTGACCATTGCGCGGTGTGGGCGGCACAGGCGCTGTCCAGGTTCTCCGCACCAGGGGCAAAGTGAGCGCCGACGCGTGCTGAGATGATGTTGGAGACTGTCAACACTGCGGCGGCGGCGGCATATGTCCAAACTCGCCTGCGACGTTTGCTGTGCTCCCTCGCATGAGGAGCCGAGGGGAGCGACTCGAGGTCCTCCTCGGACTCGTCGACTCGCTCGGCCAGTGGTTTCGAGTAGGATTCTTCTTCTTTGGGGTGCATCATGATGTTGAAGGGTTGATGCTGTGTCTGTCAATGAGAACCGGAGAGGGAAACAGACGGGACGTTCAAAGCATCACCGACAGTGGCTTCTCTGGAGTGGAAACGCCGGCCGGGGAGGCTGGGCAGAACGATCGATGATCCAAGGGAACCTCGGCCGAGGGAGCAACGGGATACCCAACGACTGATGTCTGACCTGAGGAATGCCCACTAGTCAAGCCATCTGCAACTTGGGAACGATCAGTACACATGGAACCATGGCGTCCAGAAAGGCGAGCGGTGATATCGCCAGTTCGCCGTCGAAGTTGTCGGGCGCGGTTCCGCAAGCAACGGGAATGTACGCACGCCCAGTCGCATGCTTAGTTTTTTGGCATCCGAGTACGACATTTGCGACAGGATTGCCGCCCCTTGACCGATTGTCTGTCTTCTGTCGATCCCCACCGGCGCATGCGGCTGATGTGCAACGAAACACAACTTCGGAGCTTTGACGAGAAGAGCTCAATCGTGTGCACCATCTCACATGCCGCCAAGACTAGGGAAAAAACACGATAATACGAACAACCCGTCTTCGCTCAAAGAACCCACCAAAGAGATACATAGAGGGATCGACGTTGCTAGCGTGGCAGTTTGTCTTTCACTGTCTAGCCTGCGGATCTGGCGTCTGCGGGCACCAATCGTAAATGGTTCCCCAGGCTTTCCGCAAACCGAGGGAGGGTTCTGATGCGATGCCTAATGGTGGGTGGTAGATGGATAGTCTGGGGTAGCGAGATCTCGTATCTGTAGAACGCTGACAGGTCTCGTTGTTAGCACGCAAACCGGTGGCATTCTTTCGCCTTGTATTGAGTAAAATTATGGCGTAGATGGCTGCCGGGAAATGGCACCTCACATCGTGAGTCTGTGTTATCCCTCTGTTATAACGCAGATGAAGCTTTAGGTCAGTGGCATCCAATCCCAGACTGATCTCAACCCATATTAGAGAATTTACAACGGAAAACCCTACCCGATTCCACCTCGTCTATGTTCGGTTCCTTCTCACAAACAGCAAACTTCGTTGGACGCGCAAATTGTTCGGCCTTCAAGCCACAGCAACGGACGCGGCATGCCCTGAAATATCCACACAATTACTAGCCAAGGCACCACCGCCGCCGCCGCCTCCGTGACATCAGTTCAGAGCAGCCGGAAAGCCTTGCGGCCGGGATGAGCGGGAGACTTTTGGAGAAAGCCAAGCTTTCCTTTAGCGAAGACTCCCGCGTGGGAAAAAGGGCGGGCGATGTAGACTCGTCGATCCGCGTGAGCTGATTGGGGGAATGTGAAGAAACCAGAGACGCACCCAGGCTCTCACCACCACTGTCAGCCCCAGGATCCAACATCATCCGCTGGATCAGCAGGGATTCTTGGGACTGATGGTAACACTAGTGCAGCTCCCTCGCCCTGCAACCAATTCCGTGCCAGTAGGGCTGACCTCCGTCAACGGGGATTGGCTCGGTGGCATCTCCTGCGAGAGGGACTTCATATCGAGGCATTCTAAACCTGATCTCATGTTATTCCGTATTATTGGGCTCTCAGCGAGCGTTGACACCTTCCGAAATCTCCCCATGTCTGACATTTTTCTCAGACATTACTATGTACGGTCTCATCCCAGCGGCCAAAAGGCTGGGGGCCGTGTATCCTACCTTGTACAGCGGGGGCGTCAGTCACTCGCGTCTTGGGGGCTCGATCCGCATCGTACTTCCTGGGTATGTTCGTAGCACATGACCTGTCTCTGTGAATTAGTGGCAAGACACTTGTTGCACTTCAAACTTGGAAGAGAAGTCTCTAGTCCACTTCAAACCCCTCATGCTCAGAGATGGCCGTGGAAGCAACCGATGATAGCGCTCAGGCAAACGACCTGCTGCAACCTTTCGGGCCTCCCTTGCCCACGATGACACCCACATCTCTACATTATCTACACCATCAATCATGCATGCAAGAATACGAGGAAGGTGTACCAGCTGGACAAGTTAGTCAGTTGAAAACATGTGCGGCCTCTTTAGCGTACCATTGTCGAACGACTCCAAGACAGTGTAAAGCCATCCTTCTCATCCCGCGCTCGCCCAAAGACGGATTGGGATAGACATGTAGAGTCTTGCTGTCTCTATGGGAATTCCTCATCCCGTCATTTTGAAACTCTCCGGCTACGAGGCGACCCCGCTCGCAGAGTTCCCGTTTATGTCTCAAGGGCCCCCTTGCAACCGTTCCGCCTTAGTTCCAAGAGCTTTCATCGCCGAGGACAACAGCCATCTCAAAGATCACCAAGCCATCAGCATGATTCCACATGCAGCATCCAATCCCACACCGTTTGGCTTCAATGGTCTCTGGATGATGGGATGGGACCCTACTCTATCCGAAGATTCGGCCATCTCCGTCTGGCCCTTTTTCTCAACTTTTCCATAAGTAGACCTTGGATCCCCTTGCTTTCCTTCTTTCTTATCCCCATCATCCACATAAGAAACACGCAACGTCAACAATCACATCACACATCTCTTCTTAACAACCCAACTACTCTTTGACATCCTACCCCCACCAATCACGAAAATGAAGGTTTCTGCCATTCTCATGATCACCGCCGCCTCGGCCACTCTCGCTGCCCCCGTCGCCTCGGCCGCTCCCGTCGCCTCGGCCGCCCCCGGCACGGCATACAGCAGCTACAAAGACTACCCAACAACCTACGCAAGCTACGGCACCTACGACGCTACCAATCCCCCACCTTCGGCTTACGGCTCATACAGCCCCTACGGCAGCTACGGCGCATACCAGCGCGCCGCCGAGTGGTTCAAGAGCCTCTTTCAGTAATCCTTCTCGCTTGAAAGCGAAACAGGAAGACAATGCCAACGAACGCGATCACGAAGAGATTTTTTACTGGCCCCCGTGTACTCTCCTATCATCTTGCATAGGAGACTGTCCTGGGCGGAACAGATATGATGACGGCTGTCATGATAACAACCTACATAATATAATCCGATGTCTATACCAGACTTAATCAGATAATTGCTATTTCTGTACACATACATGCACGCGCGCGCTTCCTTTTGTTCCCGCAGTGAGGCAGTAGTCCGGCTGAATATGACAATCCATTTGTGTTTGTGTGCTCTGACAGCAATATGTCTGCTTTCTTTTAGTACAGCACTTCATGAATGCGGTAAGTGAATCCTTTCGAGGTAGTGAAACATGAGTAATACAATGACCCTTATCAACTCTTCCCTGGTGTTGAAGACAAGGAGCAAGAGCATCCGTTGCTGGAAAGAAGGCTGAAGATTTGTTGTTGTATTTAATGTCGGGCTGTTCCAGCACAGGACGAAGGGCGTCGAGGGTAGCTGATTCCATTACCTACACAGTCTCTCAGCCTCTTACACCTTCCGTCGCGGATACAGATCCGCCAACCGTATCCAGAATTTCAACTACAATCGGCCCATACTGTGAAGACCCGAGAGTTCCTCAGCGTACAGAATCCATAAGGAATGATTTTGAAGAGACGGTAGAAGTGGCATATGGCGCTGGAACTAGCAAATGGTTGTGATCAGACATCGATCATCCCTCGTCCATACCCTTCAGTGGGCGGGCGAGAGAAAATGGAGAAAAGGAATAGGATTAAGGCACGCCATTCTCTATAATCTGTATCAATTGCATTTATACGAAGTAGAAAGAAACACTGATCATGAAGTGAAAGAGCAAATCATATGCAATAAACCACTGAATGTTGATACACGTGGCTGATTTTCAAGGTCCTTCGGTTGCCCGGCTCGGAAATTTGAGTTCTGTCCAAATTGTCATATCAAATGTTAAGAGAAAGAAACAGTAGGCCCGTCTACTGTGGATGTTATTCTCCTATCGAGGAGGCCGAAGCGAAACTGGTGATTACGACTGGGGTAAGCGCTCGTCAAGTGCCGTATTCGATGCTTTGAAGCTCGAGAAAAGGCGATTCGGCCTCAAACTCGAGAGATATCACGGAAACTTTCAGATTCATTACTTCCGTCGAGATTCAAGCCTCTGCTATTCAAGCAATCCTCTCAGAGACGCCTATCCCTTACTATTCGAAAGTAAAAAGGACATCATTAATCGTAGGCCATACAACTAGGATGAGCACTGTACGAAGATTTCATTTAATACTAGCAATACGCGTTGAATATCGGTGTCCGTATGTAATGCTAAAAAGAAAATGAAATACAAAACTGAAAAAAAAAAAAAAAACCATAATTGGGTAGCAATATAGGCATGAGAAGAACGTGTCGTAACAAGCCTGGCACATAAGGGCTAAAGCTATAAGATGAGCGAGGGAAATGAATCGAATTAATGGATAGAGCCAGAGAGTGTTTATACTTTCAGTGAACTCAACCTTGAGTTCTATTTAGATATAAGCTTAAAAAGCCATATGACGCAAGGCAGAGACTAGTTCAGTATATATCAACCTCGAATACTGTCATCCGCCCAGAAAGAAACACTCATCTAATCACCGAGTGTCAGAACGACCGTGATTCGCCCTCAAGTGCTCGATTCACAAAATCAAGCATGGCTGCCTCGACCAAGCTTAGTGCCATAGGAAAAGTTGAATCTTAGTACAGACCCTGTATCCGCTACCTCATTCTCTGATACGATTGATGCGATGGCTAGCTGATCCACCCATCTTTCCCGAGCACTGATTCATGACCGATCCATGTTTTTCTGTTTAGTTTTGTTTGATGCTTTCTCCTTGCGAGTATAATCATGATTTCGAGCAAGGCCCAAGTTTTGATTATTTTGATGAGCGAGTGAAGTTCCCAAACATGCAACGGCATCACATTCACAAGCCACAAGATACCAAGCACCTCTGAACGGTCGACATGTTACAAGGTCGCAGATGAACTACGGTGTCACCTATAAGGTATGATGTGCTTATGTAGGAAGGGCATTGTGCCCATTGTTTCTCTCAAAAATGCAAAGACGACAGAGCTAGGCATGGACGTCGAGTCTCGGTGCACGCTAGCCATGTGTCCCGCACCCGGCAAACAGCCGAAGCCACAAACTCGCGAAAGGACAAAATAACCCCGAGAGGGCTAAACAATGCCTTGGTGCTTCTAAAGCTGGCTGCATAGAAAGCCGGCTTGCCGCCATCGGTGAGCATGTAATGCCATGCAAGGGGGCAGCAGGACGTGCGTGCACCTAGCTCGCCGCACGATAAAACACTAATATTCAGGTCCCACTTTATCCTGAATTGGTTATATAGGAATGTAAGCGTCTCCCAAGATGTTGGACAAAATAAAGAGGCTGGGGGATCCTCATCGCTGATCTGCAGGTTCTTCCCCAGCCTCCTCAATTTTCTTTGATGTGCTGTAGTGCTCATGGCCTATCGGCCGAAGCGTTCCGTCTGAAACGCCACGACGTCCATGCAGCTCGCGAGGTGCCCCACCTTCTGCCGGAGAATCTGGCGAGAGGGTTGTTGGACCGCGGCGGGCAGTGGTGACGACGCAGAGAGAAAGACGAAAGAAAAGAGCAAATGCAAAACAGCGGTCTCAATCGGGCTCGTACGGCTTGACACCAAGCATTGTACTGGTACTTATCTGGCCATGGGAATGTTTCTGGCTTAGGCCAGGTAAAGTCGCGATCTCAGATTGCTTGCGATTGTCATGGTGCCACGAATCTTCCATAAGCCACTGGATGACATGACAATGAACGCATGGTGTCCGGCAAATACACTCCCATGGTACAGGACGAGGTGTGTTTGCACCACTGATTCAGGTGATATCCGATGAGCCAATATTCTCGTCTGGTGCCTGAACACTCTGGACTGGTAGAAGTTCAAGACGATAACTGCGCCATCCCCAAACGCGGCACGCAAGTCTCATGGGCACATGTTGCTTTTGGTGATCCGCTTGCCTGCCCTTACGGATGGTACGTTGACCTGCAGAAGTCGAAACACGTCTTGGAAGACGGTAAAAAAAAAAAAGGAAGTATCGACAGGTGATGGGCGGTGGTGATTCGAAGACCAACCTCCTCTTCCCATCGAGGGCCAGTGTCTCTAGTTGCACCGCCTGGAACGCAGAGAAGTCAGAGGCTGGACCTGGAACAAGACCATACTACTCTGTACATATCTGCAGATTGGGGAAGCGCTCGAAGGCTTGCCTACTGCAGTTTACCAACAGAAAAGGGGGTTGGTGATTGCGAATTAGGGTCGAAGACGTGGCGTACCCGAGCATGTCTCCCTATTGTGCATGCATGAACGACGTTAGCGAGGAGTATAGCCGCCAAAGCATCCAATGGGCACTGGGAGGGAGGGTCTTGGTTGGCGACAGAGCCGGTGAATGGCCATGCTCAGCGTGCTGTGGTCTACCGGTAATGCAACAGACTCAGGCTGACGCTGGTTGATGTTTCGCAATAGAACATGTAAGGCAGCTGTGGTCAGCGGGCCTTGCATACCTACCAGCCACAGCACTGGGCAATAGGGAAGAGTCAGGAGAGACCGATTCGCCTCGAAGCATTCCAGTGGCGGCCGCATATCAGCGTTGACGTGGGCCCAAAGCAGTGATGCTCTATCGTCATGCATATCACGGCCGTGGTAGACGAGTGGCGATGAAGGCCGCGAGAAGCGGCCAAGAGAAGAAGAGAGCCCCAGGACCAAGCAAAAAATAGCGCCACATTGGTGGTGGTGAGGGGGACTGGGTGTCGGAAAAGGTATGATGTACCGGGCAAAGCGAGAAATGTAGCTGAAGGCTGGCGTCACGTCGACGATCCAGAGCCAATGAGCATTGTTGGTACTCAGCGGGTTGAAGTGCATTGGTGAGATACACACCCAACGTTGTTGTTGTTGGAGCCAGAAGACTGCCGGAGCAGACAACACGGAGGCCCGCAAGATGAGAGACCCGGGCCGCTTGGGGGGGAGGGGCGACAGGTCATGGACCATCCGGCCACCCGTGATGTTGATGGCGGTAATGAGCGACCAGGCGTGCCATTGTCGGGGAAGTGCGGGCAGCAGCCAGCAAGATGGAGAAGACATGGGACGAAGAGGGTGTAAACGGAGCTAAGTGCTGTGAGGTCACTTCTCAAGAGAAAAGCTGACGGGCGGGGGGGGGGGGGGGGGGGCGAGGTCACAATACGAACTTTCGTTGGTAGAGATAGGAATCTTAGGATAGGCGATAGCCTAGCCACCCCTGCATCAGATGGGCCGCAGGTGAGTTGATGGCGGTTAAGCTGCGATAGTGGGAGACAAATTATATGGGACAACCAATGATACCACTACCTATCGGAATGAGGAGCGTTTGGTGCATTGAGGCACAATGGGATTATATTATCCGTAAGCTTGCGGAAATGGTGCGCTGCGTGCGAGCGGGCGTTTGCCAGCCGGTATCTGATGAGTGAGAAGGGGTACCGTACAGTTAGTTGCAAGGCGATCTCTCGAAGTTCATGGCACCGATGCAGCAGGTGTCATTTCGGGTCGCAATTGGCCATCTGTACGCTACTACCTAGGTAGGTAGGCATCGAAGGGAAGCGGCATGGAAGGGAAGGTGAGCGGACTTTGTTCCTTCTGTCCAGGTTTTAATTGATGTCGCGCTTCGAGCAAGGAAGGTAGCTTGCTTCCCTTGGCCGAAACGGGAACACGACGTGACCTGCACGGATCCCGAAAGACCCACATAGATTCGACGCGTCTCATTGGTGATCTGTGTCGCGGTGGAAAGAAGGAAGGTGCAGTGACACCGCCTTCGCGCCGACGAATCAGATGCGGCAGGCGGCCCTGCGCATGAATGCGCTGTTCCACTCTTTTCCGACTGCTCTCTTGCCCACCCAGTCTACGGATACCTACCGACTAATACTGGCAGGTACTCTAGAAGAGGGAAGGAACGTAGAAGGTAAGCTGCATCTGAGTGGTGTGGTGTGGCGTGGTGTGGTGTGGTGTGTGTCTCTCCCATTTGCATTGGCCCATCTCATTCTTGACACAGCATGCATCCATCTATCTATTGGCGCTGTCACGGAACTGGCGCGTCTGTTTTACCGCGTCTTTCCTGCAGTTGCAGTCACAATCCGACCACTCCCCGCTGGCGAGCCCGCCTCTCTCTCTCTCTCTCCCCTCGTCCGAAGTCTGTGCGAGTCTTTCCCACTCGATTCAACACTATCCTTTATCCTTGCGACTGATTGCTCTCAAGGCACACAGCACAAGTGCCATCATCCAAGTTTAACTCATGCTGCCAGATCAATTTGAGCCCCCCCTGTCATCCCGTCCTCTGCCTTGCCTGGACTCCCTCCCTTCCTCCCCCTCTCCACCCTTGGCCCTGCCCCTGGCCCCTGGCAGAACATGTCTGGCTGAGTGGTGCATCTCCATACTAAGTACATGGTAGTGTACAGTCCTACAGGTACCACTATGCAGTAGTATCACCATCTCCACTCAAACCTCACCGTGTTTGCGTGGGTTCCGCGCCTCTTTTGCTTTCTTTTAGCTACAAATGTTCCGTATGGAGTACCCGTTCTCCCTTGGCTGCACTGCCGGTATCCCTCCCTTGCCCTCGCACCAATCCTTTTCGCGTTTTGTGCCTCTCTTCGTCCTACGTAGCTACCTACTGAACAGGCGCCTTGGAATACCGACTGCTTGCTTGCTTTTGCTTCTCTTCTCAGCCTGTATCCGTACCTTGACTAGGTAGTGTGCCTTGCTCCTCCAACTTAGTAGCGACTACTATGTAGGTAGCGAGCGTACTACCTAATTATTACTTCCCATCCTAGCTTCACGGCCCTCGCTCGCGTCAAACGGCCGGGCCAGCACCGCCAGCCCAAACCGAGACCACCACCCACTATTACTGGCCGCCCAGACCTGGCCCTACCTACCTACCTACCCTACCTTCCTTACCCTACACGCCCTTCTCACCCCCCCGTCGCCATCTCGTCCCCTCTCAATCCCCTCCTGGCTCCGTGCACACGCGTGCCCTCTCTTCGATCGCATCTCAGCGTCTCTACTTCGCGGCGCGGCGGCTGATCCCTGCTCCCTACCAATTCCCACCTCTCTCACCCTCTTTTCTTCCTCTATCCCCCCCACACGCCAGCTTTCCTCGACTCCGTTTCTGTCACTCTCTTCCTCTTGCATTCATCCCGGCGTCGCTGGATTCCTCTGCCTGGGCGAGAATAACAAACAAACAACAAATACGCTCTCTACTCCAACTTGGCCCACGTCTGGCTGGTATCCATTTGCTTTCGCTGCTTGCTGCGTCAGAACGGGACACTGCAAAGACTCGAACCCCCAGTCATCAACTTCCCCATTCTCCACGAATCGAGTCTGTCTGTCATCGATCAAAGAGGACCCTGGACTCTGGGCCGTAGCCCCTTCAACTCGCCTTCTCTGCCTGCCTGCGCTGCATCTATTCCCGACGACGCAACGCAACGCACCGCACCGCGCGACGCCGCGACATTCCACACCGACACCCACATCCACTCGGTTCGTCGCTCGCGCTCGCGCGCAAAACCGCATCCATCCGCACCATGGCCACCATTTCTCGTCAACCGTTTGCGCCTCTCGACGGAGCGAGACTGCAGAACCTGACGAGTATTAAGAATAGACAGAATGGTATGTTCCATCAGCTTACGACCAAGCACGTCCATTCCCTCTACGCTACCCAGACCTCCAACATTTCTCTTGTCGTGCCACCGCAAGTCTTGGTACTGCATGTGGACCTCTACCCACCATCAGTCGTCCTCTAAATCGAATGCGCCTTGGCCTCCAGCCCAAGCATCACCTGCAAATATCGCCCAAAAACACGGCCAGAACCTTGACTGACAACAATAATAGCCATATCTCCTGCGTCGGGTGGAAAGCGCAAAGCCACGGACATTGTAGACTCGGACGACTTCGAAAATGTTGACCCCGGCGTCTTCTCCAAGCGATCGAAAGGCTCCGACAGCTCTTACTCCCCTAAAGAGGCTCACAAGCCTTCCTCCTTCGTACTGACCAAGGCTACGCCCCTCGTCGAAAGCCCTGCCTCGACATCAACCCGACCTGCCCTGCCCCGCCCTCGTAGCTTGCTCCAGCCCAAGTCGCCCGCAGCTAGGATTAACACGGCTGTTGCCAGGTCGTCTCCGCTCTCGGCTCCCGCTGGCCGTTCGCCCACCCGTGGCAAGCGCTCCGGTATTCTCTCAAACCGTCGCCGAACCGCCGGTCCCTACACCCGTATCGACCCACCCATGTTCAATCTGTCATCCACCGCCTCTGCCCCGTTCAGCCTCGATGCGGCCCTCAAGGGCACAATTCCCAGCTATGCTGCCCGCTCATCCGTCGCCCCGGCCCCGCGGGCCGCTGCCAAGGATTTGCTGGAGCCCGACCTGAAGGCATCTTGGTTCTTTGACATACACGAGGACACGCCTGAGCAGGAGATGACCAATATGCTGCAGCATGGCACTTGCGTTCTCGACATCAGTTCTGATGAGGAGAGTGAACGCAAAGCCAGTCGAGATCGCGCGGAAGGCCGCGACAAGGAGAACGTGCCACCTGTCGATGATGTTAGCCAGACATCCGCGCGTCACTCTGTTCGTCGTGCCGACGAGGATGACATGATGTTTGAAAAGGAGAGGACAGCGCTGGGCGAGATGGATGCAAGCGCATTTTACGCCACCGGCTGCGACGAGTCGTCGGTCATCATCATCCCCGCCGATGAAGACGAGGACGAGGAGACGCCCTCTCAACCCGCGTTGCCTGTTAAAATCAACGTAGCTTCGGAGATGAAGGCGGGCCCGTCAGTAGTGCCTCTCGAAGAAAAGATCGTTGACGAGCTAATGGGCAAGTCGGCCGCTCCTGCACCCAAAGCGGCGCTGCTGGAGCCTATAGAAGGGACAGGCGAAACCTTTGAGCTGTGGGAAAGTGGAAGCGCAAAAGACGAAACGGAAGTTATCGTTACCGAGTGCTGATCTGATTTTCTGCTTTGCTTGGCCCGCTTAGCTTGAATTTTCTTCTTCGTTTCCAACTATTCACCATCTCTTAATTACGGGCTCACGATTCATGCGGCGTTGGAACTGTTACTCGGATTCTTCGGACGGACGGACAAAGGCGAAGCGATGGGAAACCTTGGGGACACCTTTTCGTGCAGGAATAACGGATTAAGGGTGCTGGTTTTTGTATAAACCGGGGTTTGGAGTATTGCTGTTGCTGTTTCAATTGTTGATATCCTCATCAATAGAGTCATTAGTGTCTCAATCGATTCTGTGGGCTATACTGTGAACTGTGCACTGCTTTAATCTGATATAATGGCGTCTACCGGCATGAGAGGTAGTTGAACACTGGCCAAGCCCGAACCCACATTCAACAATCCTTATCAACACGTATAGTTCTATCCTCAGCTGATTGCATGGCGTGGCCGAAAGGTACAATATGGCGTTGGCAGCTCAAGCTGGGCGACTCCCACGTGACTGTCGCCCACGCGGTCCTGCCCGTAGGAATTCCGGGCCCCACACGGCCCGCTCATACCACTGACCTTCCTTCCCCTTCACCACTCCAAGACCGCTCTCTACTCGACGACAGGTGCACCTTGCCAGCATCACACTTGCAATTCATTCAACTCGTTGGCCGGGCCGTAACACGACGCTGCACGCCCGTTGGAAAGGCATCACCACACTCGGCCTCGATGGCATCCATAAACGACCTCGCCACGGCGGCCATGGCCACCTCGGCCGCGACTGGCGGCGGACCGGCCGGAGAAGACGGGTCCTCCGCCGCGACGCCGCCCACCGGCGTCGTGCGTGGCGCATTAGTTGTGTTTGAGGGCTTGGACCGGAGCGGGAAGACGACACAGGTGAAGCTCCTCGAGCAGCGCTTCGTCGAGCTGGGGAAGAAGGTCAAGGTGATGCGTTTTCCCGGTGAGTTTTGTTCGCCATTCTTTGGCTTTTGCCGGGCCTGCTTCCGCGGGGATGAGGGATTGAGGTGGTTTGAGTTTATGTGTAATTAGGAAAGAGGGCCGCTCGGGCGTATTAGCTACCTACCCATGTGTTCGTCCCACGGGCATTATTACATCATGGTCCATTGCTCTGGATCTTTCTCAAACGCATTCTACTCTTAACCATGGCTAATCACCGATCCAGACAGAACAACAACCATTGGCCAGATGATTGACGCCTATCTCAAGAGCTCGGTCGAGATGGAAGATCACGTCATCCACCTGCTCTTCAGCGCCAATAGATGGGAAGCAGTGTAAGTCCAACCTTTGTCTCATCCACGGCACGCCGCAGCCCGCGTAAACGCCCGTCTCACACACCTACGCAGCAAGAATATCCAGGCCCTCTTGGCCTCCGGTACGACCGTCATCTGTGACAGGTACTACCACTCGGGCATCGTCTACTCGGCCGCCAAGCAGAACCCGCACCTGAGCCTGCACTGGGCGCGCCAGCCTGAGCTCGGTCTGCCGCGGCCCGACCTCGTGCTTTTCCTCGATCTCGAGGAGGCTGTCGCGAGGGAGCGCGGTGGCTGGGGTGGCGAGGTGTACGAGAAGGCTGAGTTTCAGCGCCGCGTGCGCGAGTTGTTTTGGGGCCTGAGCCTGGGACGGGTCGGGCCGGACGGCGGGCTCGGCGAGAAGGGGAGGGTCGACCGGGAATTCCGGCAGGAGGAGGAGGATTTGGTCGTCGTCGATGCGGGTGCAAGCGTAGAGGAGGTTGCGGAGGAGATCTGGAGAAAGGTTGGACCGAGGGTGGACAGGGTCGAGAAGGGAGAGGTTGGGGATACCGTTAGGGTTGTGTCGTGATCAGGCGATAAAGTCCGATTTCAAAAAGCATCAAGGGCTAGTCGAGTGGTGATGGTTGAGGCTTGGAGCGGCGGCCGGTGGACGCCGACGACCCCGCGTGTTCTCAAACTCATGAGCTGTTGGGCCACGAGGGAAAAGGCTGGCCAGCTGATGGAGCAGCCGTACGGATACGTTTGTTTCGCAGGTCTATGATTGACGACACAAAAGCATCTCTGAAATTTTCAGCCCTCCGAAGATAAAAGACTATTTACTGCTGCTGTTTCTATCATAGTCACGCCAGCGAACACTGAAGGGTGGCAGAAGTAACAAAAAGTCCATTGGGAATTCGTCGCCCCATACCATTGCTCAATAAGCCACGGAGACACAGCCTTGAGTAACAGCCAAACCTTCGCATATGGCTTGCGCCGCCCACCCAGAACGGACGCAGTGGACATCGTGCATGCAAGGTCGGCACCATGCTGTCAAGAACAGCGGGAGAAAAAGGCGGATGTTGGCGCGTACCATGGATACCAAAGTTCTGGAGACGTGCAGGACCAAACTCCGTTGCGTTGAGTGTATCGTCCCATGGCGCCGGTGGTTTTGGGGAAAGACAACCGGCGAGACGGTATGGTGTGGGGGATTCCTGGAGACATGTTGGCTCTTGATGCTGCGGTCAGAAGGGCTGTGGAGACTCCTCGAGTCCATCTTGAGGATGTCGTGGCCCTTGTATACCTGCAGCGGATGCGGCCATCAAGAATAGGAGGAGGCTCCGGGCCTTCAATTCTTCTTATACCTGCGAAGGCTCCATCTTCTGCCAGAAGTTTGCTTGCTTCACTGGGACATAAGGGCTGATATATTTGAACATGGATAGGTAACCGGTAATATAGTTGGGACTACCAACAACGATAATACTCAAGCAGCTGGTTGAATAAGAGGCGCAACCTTCTATCAACAACGTCTCATATAACTGGTGTTATGCTGAGCATACAAACCCTGGTCTGCAGGCCGACAAGACTGCAGCTCTTCAGTGCCACAAACAGTAGCTGACATTGGACGGCGGAGAAGTTCCCTACCGATGTCATGCACGCCTCACAAAGTAAGCCTGCATGACTGCTTAAGGCACATTCAAATAGGGACACCAAATTTCCAGCGAATACGGAAGAAAAAAAATTGACACCTAAGATATAGCGTGCAGGGAAGGAGCCGAGTATTCTAAAGCCATGAGACCCGGCCTACGTGACATACGGCGCCAAGATGGCAGGCAAGATCAACAGGCGACTTATAGTTGATAGGTCGAATGGTATGGAAGGGTGACTCCTGGCTTGCGTACAGCAACGTTGGTCGCATTGCTGGCACGGGATCGCAGCTTGGAGGGCCGATGAAGGTATAGTAATTGAGATTCATGACAAAAGAAATGATCCGGTGAGGTGACATGTGCAGCAAGTACAACAAAAGAGAAAGGAAAGACGCAGCCCGTCGCTTCCGTTTGCGGCCCATAACCTCGCAGTTCCCATAATCCGTCCTAACGCCCCAGATTCTCAATCCACAAACATAACTCCCACTGACCTATCAAACCGACTCCGGGCTATGAGTGACAATGATTGAAGGCAAAGAAGGCTTCAATGCTGTCCTGCGGGCCTCCGACCTCCCATCAAGGGTACCCGTTCCCACAGTCGATTGCGACCCATTCCGGCTCACGCCGGCGTCCACGGCGAGCTGTTCCCAGTCCTTGGCCCACGCCGTCCCGGGCGGTGGCGGACACGGCTTATTCTTGTTCGGCGCCGGCGCCATGGACTTCCCGTTCCCCGGGCACAGGCAGGCCGGTGCCGTCGCTGGCGTGACCTTGATGGCCGGCATCCGGACCGGCGTCGTCGCGAGTTCTGGCAGCGGCGGTAGCGGCTCGGGGATGGGTAACATGATACCGAGGCAGTCCGGGTGTGGGTAAGGAATGGCAGGGACGGGCGGGATGTCTTCGCGGCGGCGGGGGTAGCTGGCTTTACGGACGAGTTTGGCGCGCGCCGGTGCCGGGACGGTGTGCCTGTGGTTGGCGGGGAAGTAGTAGTAGGCCGGAGGGGTTGCCGGGCGGCTGTTGGGATGACTTGGGGGCTTGGATTCCTCTTCCTTGAGGTCTTTCTCAAAGGCGCTGACAAGGCACGTTATGGTGTTTCGGCGACGGAAGCAGGGTAGCTCGAACGGATGGGATCCGAGCTCCAGAATGAGGATGATTGCAAAAGTGGCGGAACTAAGAGGGGTCAGCCCGGGTTGCGGTAGTCTCAACACGGGAGATCAAACTTACATCCCGACAGCAGAGACCGTCACGTTCAACTCAGTGACCGGGCTCTGAGTCACGAAGCCGGGATAACGCGCCATCGCTATCGAAGAGAGGATCGCAGCTGGAATCCATAGAAGTAACCCGAGTCGTGCCACGATGACGGCCCAAGACACCAAAGGCGATTGAAGCGACTGCCTCTTGGCGACCTGATAGTTGCGGAACGAGACGAGAATGTGCAGTACCACATACAGAGGCGAGATCATGGACTGCAGAGAAACATTAGCGCGCATTCCAGTAAGCCATAACTGCCCCATGGGGATTGAATGCATACAGCAAACAAGATGAAACTTTGACTCAAACAATCCCGCTCGCCCCTCTTTGAAGGCCGAAATTGAAGAGCTGACAAACAAAGGCCTCCCCCGGATGCAAGGATCATGAGAAACATGGCCACAATGGCAAGGATAGAGAGAGGTTTCGGGGGGGACCTCGTGGAGACGTCGCTTCCCGACATTGACGACTCGGTCACCAGCGACTCGACGACACTGACAGTGTCATCACATTTGGATGGGGGAGCCATGGCGGAGAGGTGTGTTGAGTGTGTGTATTGAGAACATACACATTGATCGCTTGCCTTTTCGCCTCCTGGTTAAAATGCTCTCGACAGAGAAGCCTCATATAGCACTTTGGCCGAGACGGCAGGTAAAGTCACGATGGCTGTGAGCGCTTGTTCGTGTGGCGGGTGGGCTTGCAACATTCCAGTCCGACACACGTCTGGACGTAGAAGATTGGAGGCCGAGGCGCATTTTGGGGTGGTTGACGGGTGAACTTGGAACTCAGACAGTCGATCGGACCGCTGCATTCCTGACCATGGCTACCGAGATAGGACGTGAGCTGGCGGGGAGAGCAGTTGGTGGTTGGCAACAGTTCAGTGCAGTGAACCAATGACCCCGATAAAGAATTCCCATCAATGCGCTGCTCTACCTCAAGACGCTTGTCAATAACGGCATGCGGCTGGTGAGCCATTGCTTGAATGAAGGAATGGCCAAGTTCCTTGGTCCATTGGAACAGGGCGTGGTACCCGGGAGTAATTCTTTGGAGTTCTGTCTCAACACGCAGTCCGGATCTCAAGTTTAGAGAATGCAGTAGCCATCAAAAGAACAGGGAGTATTCGAAAACATGATATGATAGAATATGATAGATTGATAACTCTAAATCACTGTATATTGATGCCAATTTCTGGTAATGAAAGCCAGATTGCCTCGCTGACGGAAACGTCCTGGCCCAAGAAAACACCCACGCATCGCGGAAGGAAATGGTACAATTTGGTCCAGAATGAAATCATGTACCTCGAACTCGGAGTCAGACTACATCACTTCCCCCAGGCGAGCCTCACGGTCACCCGACCAGTCGTCCCTCTCGTAGAAGCGGAACACAAGGTCGTAATCCTCAAAGTCGTGGACAATACGGTCAATGCGACGGTATCCACGAACAGGATCAACTAGACGTTGAGTGGGACTCGCCGGAGAAATGTGGCCGCCCATGCCATAGGGGTTGGCGCTCTTGCCCCTAGCCTCGAAGAGAGTGACGCTAAAGCGGCCGGGCTTGAAGATGTCGACGACGTGCTCAATGATCTCAGCAGTGGTGCGACCACTTTGGCCCCCAGGAACATTGGTCTCGAAAGAGGCGAACGAGCAGTTGGGCTCGGGGGTCACGTGGACGGTGAAGTAGTGAGCGGTGTTTCTGCCATTCTCGCTGTTGGGGACATCCTCGTCATCCGCGATGGCGGGAATTACGCCGTTAGCGGAGAATCCGCATGGACTGAAGAGGTATGCGTCGACACGAGCACCAGGGTACTTGCTGGTAGGGTAGACACTCGATAGGCCACATGTCTCGGAGACGACAGTACCAATGGCATGGCCTTCTGTGGTCAGAGCCTCGGTCGTGGCACGGTCGTCTTCATTGAGACCCGAGCCGCAGGTGTTGTCGAAGACGTCGACATGCTCACCGCCCGACTTCTCGGGGACCTGTGACATGTCGCCCAAGCTCTGGTGGGCGTTGTCTCGAGCCGCCTGGGCTTGCGGCAAATGGGACTTGTCGGTTGCAACCGCACTCGCATGCGACAAGTAGAACTGCTTCGCATTCTCAGGGTCGAGATCGGTCATGAGAATCTCAAGAGTCTCGTCGCAGTGCTCCTCGATGCCGCTGCTGAAGCTGGCCACGCTACCCGTAGGGATCTTGCTGGCGGACCCCAGGACCGACTCCTTCTCATCGGGAGTTCGAGGGGGCGTCAACGTCTTGTTTGGCGTAGTGATGTAGAGGTACCAATGGTCACCGTTCATCTTGCCAACCATGTAGGCGCTGCCGCCCTCAAACAGATCATCCAAGTACTGGACCTCGGACCGCCAGCTGCGATGAGGGCCCTGCTGCCGATCTGGAAACAAGAAGTTCTTGCGACTGTAGAAGACGCGGTAAGGGGTCGCTGCAGCCTTTATATCGGTCGCGTCCTCGGCGTTGTGAAACGGAAACCCGGCGTGTTCGGCAGCAATGTGAAGCAGTCGTTGCAAACCCAGGAGCAGGGTGGTAGTTCCGCAAGTCTTGAGGATAAGCTTGTGAGGGAAGACAAACAAGCTGGACTCGGACAAGAGGTAGGCGTCGACAGATTCGGACTCGAGAACGGAGAGAATCTTGCAGTTGACCAGGTCGAGCATGGTGACCCAGGTATCGGCGGAAACGGTCTTCAGGCCGTTGGGCTGAGCGCCGGCGGGGAGCGAGTCCGGGCCAGGGGCGAACCAAACTTCGAGGAGCTTCTCGGGGCCTAAGGGCATGCTTATTAGCAGCTAAAGAAAGGGCGGGCGAGCTTGCAAAGCTGGTTTAACGAACCTTCAAAGGCATTCGTCGAGTCCAAGTCGGCGGCCACATCGTGATTGATGGTCAGCTGGGGAGTGGCCTCAGCCGGGGAGAGGGGATAGTCGTTGAGGATCAAGGGGGCGACCATGATTGACAGGATAGGCTTTCTGGGCGCGACCAGGGGGCTCAAAGGTAGCAGAGGTGGACGAAGATGGCTTGGATGGGTATTCGGGCTAGAAGTCCGCGGGACACTAGCTACCGCTCAAACGAACCTTGCGGTGTTCGTTTGAGAGAGTAGGCCCACAGGAAGGTGGACGTTCGTGGAGGCTGGCGGAGCCAGCAGCAAACGGGATTATGAGGGGTCTTTTAACGTCTCTCGAAAGGACGTTACGGAGGTCGGGCTTGGAGGGGAATGAAGATAACCCTGGGAACCGGAATTGTGTCTAGACTACTGGGCCTCGCTCTGGCAGACACCGATACCTGTGGTGGAGTATCGGACCTAGCAGACGAGGTTATCTGCGCGATCGAGAAGTGGGAGTTGGTGGGTGGCGTGAGGGAGGTAGACTCGAGGTCAGTATATCGAAGTGATTCTTGCTTAGCGTATAAGCAGGTGTTATCTGGGCCTGAAAAAGAAGACGGGTTAGCTGGGTGCGCCGACATCGTGAGGCAAATTCGCCTTGCCGTTGCTGCGGCGGTGGTTGAATAGAAGTGACGAAATGCGCGCGCGCAAGTCAAGGTGCTCGTCAAAGACAAAGCAAAAGCAAGAGAGGAGGGAGTGGATTCCTACTTTGCGGGCTTGGAGAGGAAGCGGAGGAGGTCGATTTGGTTCATAGACGGCCAGGAATGGACAGTGTTCGTGAAGTGAGAGGGTAGTAAGCTGGGCCACCAAGTAGTGGGAAGATCACCGTTGAAGAGTGGTGTAGGCTGGTGTTTTGATCACGAACATGAATCAGACTCAAGGTTTGAAAGGGAAGCCTGCGTGTCGCACAGCGGAGGATGAAACCAGGCTGAAAAGGGAGGGTGGAAAGATTCCAATTTTTGAAGCTCGAGGCAAGATTCTGTCGTTGTGGTTGTGGCTGTGGTTACGGTTGGTGAGGTTTGGTTTGGTTTGGTTTGGTTTGGACTGGACGGGGGGGAACGATGCTTGGTGGGTACCTATGGAGAAAAAAGAAAGAAAAAAAAAAAGTTGATTCTTTCTGTTAATCGAGCGATTGCCAGTAGCGGCGGTTATGGGATGACCAGCCCCCTCCCCGGCTCTCCACACCAAATTTCAGCCCAAACGATCTGGAGTCGCAAAGAAGGAAGGGCACATCATCCCAGATAGGGCGTCCGTCCGCCCGGTCCCCCTTCCAAGAGAAGGAAAATAGAAGCATGTTGTTTCCGCCCCATCTTTGCTGGGTTCTCGCCGAGTCTCTCTCTGGCACACAAGCGACTACCCGATACCAGCTTTGGGCCAAAAGCTTCATTTGTCTTTTCGGCCAAGAATACCATCTTTTCCCTTAGCCTTGCTGCCCGAAATCTGCTTGTGCGCAACTTCTCCCCGGCACAGTTGGGTTAGTATCCAGCCATTGCTCGGGAGCTAGGTTTCCGTACAGGCTGATTGGGCGCGGCCCGCCGCAGGGGGTATGTATGCGTCGCTGAAGAATGAAAACGAAACGTCATTTTTTCCACCGTGCCATGCCTGGAACCTACTGGAAAGGGAAAACACCTTGGTGTAAAACGAGGGGTAAACTGCGGTGCCATGTACTCTGTCAGCCAAACTCTGTAAGCGGTACTGTACTCTGTCAGCCGTCCGAATATAGACGTTCCGTCTGCAACTGTGAAATACAGGGGGGGTATGCTATGCTATGCCAACCACACTCGAGGAGCCACTGGGTCTTGATTGAAAACGCATATAGTGTGTACATCGTACAGTATACGTATGAGCTGTTTCTTGTTATTGCCAACTATTCATGGTGCCTGGTTGCATTCCCTGCTTGTAATGCGTCTCCGGCACGTCCTGCCTATACAGAGTACACGTGTAAAAAGCCGTACATGCGGTGAGAGGCAATGCGCTACTACATGTCAATCATGTGCCGTCGTGACAATGATTTGCGGGGCAGTTTGTGTCGACGAAGCCAGGGATTCCGCCCAATCTCGAGTCGCACTCACATGCCTCCTTTGCATCGAGCACTGGGCTGCACATCGGACGCTGTCGAGGACAGCAGAAAACCGGGGGGGGGTTGCCTACTAGTAGTGTCCTGAAGCAACATCTGATGCCGGCTACACTGGTTGTTTGCTGAACTGCTGCAACTACCCCGCACTTCATGACCTATTGACGCGGTTTCGTCTTTACTGTGTCGCTGATGGACTCCTCCCCTGGCGTTGATCGTTGATGCCTCGGGACCGAGCTCAGATGTAGCTGCATTTGGCGCGCCTGCTTAGCCATCGAGAAGGTCATGTTGGCGTACCGTCAACCGCACTCTTGAGCCGAGTCCCTTGCTGCCAAGTTTTTAGGGGTTTTTTTTTCTTTCTTTTTTTTTCCTATTCCCTTTTTTCTACTCTGCTCATGACTGGGCTGCGGTTTCAATAGTGGCCGTCAAGTTTGTCGTGATGTCGCTGAAAATGCGAGACAGCGAGCAGTCCTGGTATTTCTCGACCAACGTGTCGCCCCTGGCCTCACCCTCGGTTTTGGCCTGACCGATGTCATGCCCATGAACCTGTGTTCCCTGAGGGTACACCGGTCTCCTG